TCGTTGTGGGGAGCTGTTCTACCATCTATGACCCATTTGCATTCTGGCAACAGTCTCATAGAGACTTTTAACACTCGCAATGAGTTCTTTTATGACTGGGTCTGTTAGTGGTTCTTTCTGTGTGTGATTTGTCGAGCATGATCCAGTTGGTGATTTCTTTCCATTATTTTATCGGCTATACGAGCCAAATAAGATAACGGGGTTTCAGAATCTTGTGCATCTAAACAGTGTTGAACGTAGCATGGACGAGCTTGTATCCATCCTTGTTTTAGGACTGCTTCTACCACTGTGTTGTCACCCGCTAAGACTTGGAGGTGACGTGAAAAATGTGACGAAGACCTCTCACGCAAAGTTCCTCCTTGAAAAAGCCTTTGGGTTCTGGCCAACGCAGTAAAATCGAAAGTCAGAAGCGAGGACGTTCGAAGATATATATGATAACTTATCAATATATCGAGAAGTGACTGATCTAAACTGGCTAGAGGTTGCAAGAGAAGGTGAGCACAGCGTTCAACACTCGTGATATGGTGCGAATGCATGATCGAGTGCCTCCAGCTAGGTGAGTTCATTAAACTAATGTGTTCAACATCAAATGTCGAAGACGTATAGAGCTATTTGTTTTGGGATTTATTTACCGCTACAGATCACTCCCCCACTATTAGGGCAGTAAGCTTCTAAGATTTGGCCGGACGGAAGTTTAAACCCAACGAGTTAGTCGTTGGTGGACACTCTTCTGACAGCATGCTATGTTCAGCAGCGCCTAGTTTCCTTTCCTTACTATAAGAGGCCATGTGGTACAATATATTAACGAAAAACAGATATAATGGAAATTTTTGACCGTCGTAAACTTCGTCGGTTTTTTCATCTTTTCCATCCGTCCTGGAAAGGAGAAAATGAACATATAAGCACATACTGAATGATACTTGCACGTGCGTGAAGACATAGAACGGGCGAACAAGGAAAATAAACTCATATATATCGGTTTCGTAAACATGTAATAGCGTAAAAACGATTTCCGCAGGATGATCTTTTGGGATTTATTAAAAAAATACACATATGAGCAAGCACATTATCAAAAAGTGTGTTTGTTTTGAAATAAAAGCAGTAAATATCTATGGGCATATTAGAAATAGTTTGATTTTTGACACAATAACACAAAAAATTGGGACGACATGTAGTGTTATGTAGTGTCTTACGTACAGTAATCGTTTAGGTGTTCTGGGAACCTTACTTTTCTTCCAGAACCCATTGTTTTGAGTCGGTCGTCAGATACCGCCGAAGTGTAATAGTGATTTTTGATTATCGTGTGAGGTATGGTAATTGTGAGACTCATGTGTTCCAACTGTACCGAAGGAAAATCGACATGAATAGGGTTTCCTTCTAAACGCAAGGCTTTGAGGCGATAGATTCTTTTGCTATCGTTAGTACTATTCTTATCGATGATATGGTATGTAGGTTCACTGTAAAGAACAATGCCACCTTGCACTGCATTGTGAATACCTATTAAGACGAGTGGAATTGCGTCGGTCCACTGTGAAGCGTTGACAGCTGATAGTGAAGCTCTTAGTCGTTGGTGAAAGCGCCCTACCAACCCGTTTGGTTGCGGGTGGTAGGGGGTCGATCGGAAATGAGTGATTCCAAATAGTATGGTCAGGCAACGGAAAAGTCCAGATTCGAACTGGAGTCCACGATGCGTAGTGGTGATTGAAGTTTGCTACTCATCGTCCGACGAAGGCGCGGTCCACTGGTTCAACAGTGATGTCTCTGATAGGTACTGCTTCTGGCCATCGAGTGAAACGGTTTACTCAGGTTAAAAGATAAGAGTATCCACTTGAATCTGATAAAGGTCCTATCAAATCCAGATTAACATGGTCGAAATGACCATCAGGAGTTTTAAATAAGCCTAAGGGACATTTGTTGTGTCTAATTAACTTAGATTTCTGCCAGCTTATACAGGATTGTGCCAATCCCCTCACGTCTCTATTCATATGACGATTGAGCGATCCCTACCTGTAGATGTATCGCATAGTAAGGTTTCCTTACCTGTCCCCATCTCTTTAATAGGAAGTTTTAGGGTTGCTGAAAATAACTCGTGCTGAAGGTCAGTGCCTTCTTTTTGAAGCTGGGCGAGTTTAAGAAGGTCGATTCCTTGAAAACTGTTCAAGGAAGTTATACGAGAGGAGACGTCTGCAACTACATTGTTTGCTCTAGAAATAATTTGAGTGTCTGAAGTAAACTGCGAAATGTAGTCCAGTTGTCGAGACTCACGAGGTGAGTACTTGTCTGAAGATGAGCTCAAAGAGGAGGTAGGAGGTTTATGATCACTGAAAAAAGTGAACTGTCGACCTTCAATAGAGTGTAGAAAATGCCGTGCAGCACAATACATAGCTAGGAGTTCCCTACCGAAAGTGCTATACCTCGATTCAGTGTCTATCAACCATCTAGGGAGAAATGCTAAAGGTTGTCAGGAGTGGTTAACCCATTGTTGTAAGACTCCTTCAATTGTTGAGTCGGATGCGTCTACTGCGATACTGATGGGTGCTCGGGTGTCTCGATGCGCGAGCATGGTTGCTTTTATGATAGGTTCATTAACTGTGGAGAATGCTATTCGCGTAGTATCATCCAAATTGATGGATTTCGCATTTCCACTAAGTTGGTCAGTTAGCGGTTTCATAAGTGACGCGCAGTTTGGTATGAATCGTCTATAGAAACTTATCAGCCCGTTATATGTGCGCAATCGCTCAATGGTGGTCGGTTCTGGGTAATCCAGAATGGCCACCACTCCGCTTCTTAGAGGTCGAATGCCTTGCTCATCAATATTGTGTCCTAGGAAATCTAAGGAGTCGGTTCCGACTCGGCATTTCAGAATGTTTACGGTTATGCCATGTTTTTGCAGTCGTTCAAAAACAAGGTCCAGATGCTGGAGATGAGATTCCCTGTTTGGACTTGAGATTAAACAATCATCAACATACGCATGTACGAAGTTGAGACCTTGTGGTGTTTGAACGAACTAATGATTCCTTTGTACTTGTTGAATGCTTGATTTCGAATTCCAAATACAGTACATTCGTTCATGCTTATGTAGTACCTCTTGATCCGATTACGTTATTTTTGGGATCTTAGTTCGTACTATAATTCAAATACTCATAATCATCATAGACCTCAAAAGATGTCATCTATGAATATTTGAAAAGTTCGTGCAGCATTTCTTAAACCGAAAAACATTCAAAACTCGTCGAGATCGAAGGGAGCGATGATAGCGGTTTTTGGAATGCCGTCAGAAGCCATAGGAATTTAATCATATGCTTCGATCAAGTCGATTTTCGAAAATACACTTTTTACCTTTCATAGTAGCTGTCAAATCTTGAATGTGAGACATCGGGTAACGATCAGGAATGTTTTTCACATTCGACCGCTGATAGCCATTAGCTAAACGCCAGCCGTTGCTGCCTTTTTTAGAGACCACGTGCAAGGGAGATGCCTATGGGCTGTTCGCGTTTGGCTGCTTTGAGTCAACAGGTCATCACCGTAATTGATGACTATGGAAACGTTACTAGTATGGATGGAGACCGGATTAGTGGACCTCTGAAACGTCTGAGAAACAGTTTCGGATTCTGTTGTGTTTTATTTTTATCTGGGTACTCTTAGATTATAAAAGAAATAAAATCGAGAGTGAATTTATTTGCGTACCCATACGGATCAGTCTGATTAAGTGTCGTGAGCTTGCTGTTTAACAAAGGTTTTACTAATCCCTTTTGTTTGAAGTTAGCCATCGTATTGTATGAAGTCATGAAATCTGTCCCTAGAACTTTACTGTGTACGTCTGGCGTAATAGGTGACTGATTAAAATGATGTCGGATACGGAGATTTACAATGTGCAATCGTTTTTCATATACCTTTATTTTGGCTGTATTGTACACAATACCAGGAATCACACAAACATAATTTATTGATCGTCAAACAAGTGTAAGTGGAATGACACTGATTTCTGCTGCTGTATCTAAGATAGAAAAATGGACCAGATTTAAAAATGACGATAACAGCAAGTCAATACATTTCATCACACGTAAAGTTTATCGAAAGTTTACACGCGATTGCACTCTCCATATATTATATCCATACTTTCTATCGTGTCAAAATGCGTGCATCAAAGACAACTATGTGGAACAGAAACAATCAACCTTAATAACCAACCATTCATCACAAAAGTTTCTCTCTATTCTGACAAGAACGTACCAAAATGGATTGTGAAGCGATTTCTGTGAGTTCTATTGATTGTTGTATTTCTATCCTAGTGATTCTGTGATATATGCTACTTATTTCTGTCGACATAAGTAGCATGTAACACCAGTCAGAAGTGGAATGCCTAGCAGCAGAAGATTGAGAAAATCGAACAGAAAAGAACAAGAGTGTAAACAGAGAGTAATTTTTATAACAACAAAAACGATTAAATTTATAAGAGACAATTGACGGAAGATATGCAAATGAAGTATTTGATGTATCGTTTCCATATTTTACAAACGAATTCTGTAATTTTATATTAAACAATAAATTAGTTTCTCCCCACCTGAGTGTTAGTTCACCACAATTCTACTGTCATTGTCAAAATAAATCCAACACAATTACAGAGATTTTGATTTCTGATACTAATCCAATATTACTTTTAATTCAGTCCAATTTCGTTCACTTAGTGAAATTACAATTTGATCCTATTATCTACAACCGTATGCGTCAGTTAGTTAATTTAATTGCTTAAATATAAATTCAGTAACAATTGTATCATAATTCTCGCTTGATTCAATTGTCGTCGATTATCAAGTATCAATATAACGAATATAGCGAATTTTTCGAAGTATAGATTGACGTAGGATTTATATAACGCTACAGTTAACATAAGGTCAATAATAACTTGACTTACAAAACTGAATGATAAGACTTGTGGCTAGATGAATTTACAACCCACAGCAATAACAGAAATTGTCTGATGAAAATAACAACCATACTTTATGAAAGTACTGTAATTAATTATTACGCAAGATACTCAACATCCAATGGCCGGATACAATCATAATCAGCCTTTTATAGAAGAGAACAAACCAGCTTTCAACTGAAGAGGTAATTAAGAAAAGACGTTAGAAGTGGATGAGACATACATTACAGAAATTATTAACGGGGTATCATGAGGCAAGCGTTAACTTAGAATCCTGAAGAGGAGCCGAAAATAAGAAGATCAAAGAACATATTACATCGGGAAATAGAAGCAAATATGAAAAAGATAAATAACAACTGGAGAGATCTGGAGAAAATTGCCCAGAACAAGGTTGAATGGTGAATGCTAGTGAGTAGCCTATGCTCCTTCACGAGGAGTAACAGGCGTAAGTTAAGTACTCAATGCTCAATTCATTCAAAGTGATCAAGTCCAACCTTAATAATGATACTTAATTTGATTCACAGTATAAAATAAATTCATAATACTGATATTCACTTATTATCCTACTGAATATTCAATAATAAATAAAGAATGATTTAATATTATAGTTATATTTTATTGTTCATAATCTGATAATGAATAATAATAATAATAAGAAGATAGGGATTTGTTTTTCTTTTCTTTTTTTAGACAAAAACAAACAAACAAACAATCGATTGTTTACAAATCATTATAACAATAATTATCTTTATTATTCTAATATATCATTGTAAACATATTGATTATTGATTTCCGATTAAATATGTAACATAGAAGAAAAGAAAAATAATATTGATCTTTGGAAAAAAGTACAATCCACAACAACAAAAAAATCATATTGGTTTAGTATAATAAGTTCAAGTTTTAAATTGATATTACATAAAAGAAAGAAAGAAAAAGAAAAACAACGATGAGAAATGAGTAGATAAATGAATGAATGAATAAATTTAAATATTTTATGTGCAATTAAAACTTTAAACAATAAAATAAATTAAATGGGAAGAATTTTATGAAGAGAATTAAAACCAAAACAACAAAAAGAAAGAAAGAAAAAAGAATAATTCATTATTGATGTTACTGTGCAAAGATAAAATACACAAATAAATAAATAAAAACAAAGTAGAATAATTGAATAAAACAAAAACTAGATAAATAGAAGTTGAACTAATTAGAATTGAAATTGAATGTTGACAATAGCAATAACAACTACAAAAAAAAAGAACAATGACACACTCACACATACACAAACAAATATGTTGAACGATTGAAATGCGGGAAATTGTTATTATTTGAATTTGTGAATTAAATTTTTTGTTTTATTTTGGAAAATTTCAATTTTACACATTGTATTATTAAAGTAAAACAAACATGCATAGATGATATTGAATGATTTCTCATATGAATAGATTCATATAAAATAGTCAATGAGATAGATAGATAGATAAATGTCTTTTACTTTTAATCCGACTATTAAAATACAGCTAATATTAGTAGTAATAATAATAATTATTATTATAACAGTAAGATACTCTGAATGATCTTAGTTAAATAGTTTGTCATTTTTCTCTTTTTTTTAAGGGAAAAAAAGAAAGAAAAACGTTTCACAAATTGAATGATTAAAATCTTGTTTATTTTTTCCTTTTTTCTTTAATTTCTTTTCATTCTTTTTTTCTTAAAATGAAAATTTATACAATACAATACATAGTACAAAATGTAATGAAGACATATTATTATTGAATGATTATGTTTATGAATTGTGAAAAATAAATAAATCCATATGATTTTTATCTGTTGAAATGTATTCAATAAGAGAATGGATAATGATAAGAGATTTAGTAATAATAATAATGGCAATAATAATAGTATCAGTAGTAGTAGTAGTAGTAGTAGTAGTAGTAGTAGTAGTAGTAGTAATCTTTCCGATGATTTAGACGAGAGTTGAAGAATCAATTCATGAGATTATATTATATATATATATATAGGTGTATTCAGGGATTATTTCATTGAAATGCATTAATATCATTGAATATGGAAGACAATTTATGATTCAATCAATGATAACAAAAATTCATTATTTCTTTGAATTCATGAATCATTTAAAGAATCTAGATTGTTGATAAATTATATATAAATAAAAGAAAAATAAATCAAGTTTATTTATAAAGCTTTGTTAATTAGATTATTTAAATAAAGAAAAAAACTAGGCAACATCTCTTATATTATTTATTATTATTATTATTATTATTATTATTTAATAGATGAATGAATGAGTCAAACAAAGCTAGAACAATATGGAAAAACCTGGAAGCACTGGACGGTCGTTTCATCCCAGTATGGGACTCGTCAGCAGTGCACATCCACGGTCCATCTCGCCGGATTTGAACTCAGGAGCTATAAGTCTCGCAAGAGAACGTTTAACCAGTAGACTATTGATTTGATATCCAATGGTGTTAATGTTTAACTTCAACTAATCATTATTATACTCTGATTCGCAAAATTTCTAGTTATATTAATTAGAAAGTAAACAATTATTATAAGGTTATTGCATTATATTGTTTCTAATGTTTTGACTGAAATTAGATTCACATTCCCTATGTTCTATACTAACTTGTATCAGAATGACTATACCACGGTAATCCACATAGAACCCATATTTGCTGACCAAGACTGGTTAAATTTCAGCCAGAATATCAACAATCGGATTATACAAACCATTTCAAATTAAATTAAAATTTACAGGTTTTGCAAAATTGAATGGTCGCTTGGACTTTATGACTAAGTGAATAATGTGACAGTGCTTAAAATGGCTATCACTGTGTTTAATATACGGGATGAATATCAACTCCGAGATGTAGGTACATCCGACTGAGGCGTTCCAAATGGAAAGAAATGTGTGTCCTGGATTCTATCGCTAGCGACATTCCATCTATTCTATACCAGAAACTATGAACGTTCAAGAGTTCACAATTTGTCAGTAAGAAACTCACCCTTCAATGTCTGTTTAGAAAAAATAACTTCAGTTAGAATTACCTGTAGAATTTTTAGTGTACATTAAGTGTGATATATCCAACATATTCGGTCATGTGTTATTTTTTTAGTAAATGAGACTATGTGTTAAGGCGTAATATTCACTAAAAATTCAATTTCAAGTTTCCAACTATCTGATGTCAACATCTCAATAAAAAGTAGCCTGATAAGCTGGTCAAATATAAGATTCAATTTAGAAAGTATATCTTTGTAAAGATTAGTCTTCTATTTAACTAACTAAGAAAATATCCAGAAAAGTTACATACAACCCATTTATGGAATATTGTAAATGTTAAAAATAGCCTCATTAAAAATTCCTAGATATAACTACATTTATTTATACTATTTATCATATCTATAGGTAACCTTGATAAAACGGCTTTCCCGTGTTTTCAGGTATCCACAGATGGTCTAGCATTGATTTTTCCATGATATCAATAAAATAAATATTTGACATTTAGAGATTATGAGTTGATTTTATCAACTAAAGTGACATGAATCCATATTTATCTGAACAGTTATATAATTTCCGACACTAGTTATCGTCACTTGAATAGCTCGCTTGTTAGTATCCAAGAAAAATTAATCATAGATTAAACAATAGATTTGCTTTTACCTGATCACTACTCATAAACGGTAATTAAGTAATCACATGTAAACGTGTGAAAAAACACACATTAATATTGTACAAACAGATTGAAATGTTTTTATCAACTTGGAAGATCTACAATGTTTATTTCATATCAATTTTAATGGTTTTGCATCAAATTTTTATTTATTAATCAAGCTAATTGATTATATGCTTCCTTTGAACAATTATTAGTATGCTTCAAAATGTGATGTTACAAATAAAGTCAATGTTGTAAAGCCATTTAGTTTTTATTTACAAAAACAGTGTATTATAGAGCAAATAGAATTTCACGTTTCAAAATGTCAATTGATCTTAGCTAGACCACCGGTGAAAACAAAGAAGAACTTGACAGCTTTCTATCGTCTCTGGCAATTAACTGTCTCATATCCGACATGGCTGAACTTCACTGGTCACAGTTTCCCACTATTTATTTCCAGTATTTATTTGCCAAAAGTTGAAACACATTTCCTGCATTCAGCTTATCTTAAATAATCATAATATTCCCGTTGCTTAACTCTTCACGTGACTTTTTTGTGTGTTATAGTATCGGAAATAAGTAAATTGTCATTAATAAAGGTCAATTATATTCGAATTACCCACTGTAAACTAGCATACGTCAAGCAGTATTTGTCTTATTTACTTACACTTCAGGACTGTACATTGATGAATCCATATGACGTTAAACTCAGATACGTCAGGTCTCAAGAAAAAACGTGGGCACTGAATGGAACTTCGTTGGTTCAAATTTGAAACTTGAAGATTTAGGGAAATATCACTTTTCAATCAGTGAAGGATTTTAGTTTCTCTCATTTGATATTCGGGACTGTTTCTGTTGCAATATGATCAAGCTACTTCGATAGAGTGCAGTGTCACGAATCTAGATTATCTGGTTTGTGATTATCCACTGAATACAAAGCCTACGCTTCATCTCATTTCTGACTCATCAGCTGAATGTTGACACTGAAACTTCAACGCAGTATCTTTCGCTTCAAACACTGAACAAATTATCCTCAGAGCTAGTCATCATATAGTTATATGAATTCTTTGGCTCAATTGTAATCTTGAATATTAACAAAAACGAATTCACAAGCATTTGTGTGAACGTTTATATTTGTTAAACAGGTTATTGGCTTTATAGAATCATTAGCTCAGTGGATAACGCTATAAGAGTTCGAAGCGAAAAACAACGTGTTCGAGTTAAAGAGTAAACAATTACACTCGAATCCATGTTCATTCATGTGGCGAGCCTTCAATAAAACAAGATATGAGTTCTGGATTCTATTGCCAGTCTCACATAAAATACACTAAATCATTATCGGATTTTTAATCCCATTGGTAATTTACCGTTTTATTATCGACCTACGCTTGATTTTATAAGCTATCACTTTACTTTGAAATGCCAATAAATTAAACTTGGAACTAGTCACTCATAGAGAACCTTAATGTGATTGTGAAGAGATGTTTGTATATGCTGTAACTCAATTTTATTGTTCACAAACTAAAGAAAAAAACAAATCTTAATTTCACCCTAATTTCAATTATTTAATTTTTTTTGAATAATTGTCAGTATACAACAACTACTGATAACTTATCATGACAGATATAATACAGACAACTAAGTTATATTGTGCAAGACGAAAATTAATCGGTTATCAGCAAAAATTATCATTATAAAGCCCAGTTATTTAATAGAGGGATAAAGTAGATATTTTAATAGTTGAATTCATGAGTCAATTTAAGTTAGAACACCATTCAAAACCTGGAAGCTCCGGATGACCAGTTCGTCCTAGTTTCATCATGTACTCACTAGTCACTAACTTCAAGATGGATTTCCTGTAGTTCTAATGAGAAACTGTAATCAGTGGAGTTCAATCGTATCTGTTCTCAGGCAATTTCTCACTGAAGACAATAGAGGACTGTCACACAATATCGTGGATTGGTTGGAGTTAGACATTAACACTGTTTGATGCTGGCTCAATGATTTCGAGAGTAAGCATTCACGTGTGAGATCGAAGGTCCTGGATTTGGGTCTCACGTATGGGGTCGTGTATGTGCGCTACTGAGGAGTCCCATACTAGGACGAAACAGCCGTCAAGTGTTCACGAGTCCTCAGTGATGGTCTAGCTTAAATCGACTCCTGAATTCAATCATTAAACTTACTACAATCTCCACAAACGCCCATTCTGATAAAGTAGATATTGTATAAAATTAGACACGATTATATAAAATAGGGTGATTATTTTTAATAGATAAAAGTTGAGCAAAAATATCTCAGTATTAATATATTTCTAGATTATAAAACTATTTAAAATCAAGGTTGTTTACTCTTACCAGGCAAATCATTATCAATAAAACTATATTGATCTAAATTCGTAGGATTCACAGGGGATACATTATCTGAAGCCTCTGTAGTTTGATGTAAAGCCAATAATCGCCCAATAGGTTTACGACGTCCAATTATTAAACTTGACAAAGCTGTATTTGTATTAGAATCAGTAGATGATGTATTTGGAGCGTTTTGTTTGTCAGATGAGTGAAACAACTTTGATGTTGTAATCGATGAAGCGATTGTAGATGGAGAAATCGAATGTTGACCACTTGAAGAATATAATTTTTTAATCCCACGTACAATAGATGATGACGATGAAGGTGAAGCTTCATTCACATTGACACTATTACTAGTAGAAGTAATAACATTAGTAATAGTAGTAGTAGTACTGGTAGTAATGGCTATTCCAGTAGTTGGTGGATTAGATATTTGAGATGCTGTAGTGATAGTTGGTTCAATAACTGGTTTAGCTAAATCTTGAAGTCTCATACTAGATTTTATATTAGTTGATTTTTCATATATTACAGGATTATGTCTTTTATGCATTTTGTCATGTTTATCAGATCCATGTAATGAAGAAATTGTGATATCAGAACTGGTATTAATAGGAGTTTCTTCAATATTTGCATTGTCTTTACTAAATCCTTGATTCTGTCGATATGGAGTATACAAAGGTAAGGCTCCAGTAAGCAGGGCTAATGAAATAAATTTGTACACGTTACATTATTCAAAGTTAAATAAATGTATCAATTGAATAAAGAACTTAAATGATAGAGATTATAATTAAAACGGATTCGTTGAGAAATCATTCCCACATATTCTAAGATGATAAAAAAACTATCAAAGACAATACATTTTTGTTGCATTATTAAACATTTTGCTAATAAACAGTAAAAATCGGTTACAGTTTTCATAATCTTTAGCCTTACACATTATTCGTTTCGTTGTTACTCTGTTATTCGTTCGCTTCAAACGGACTCAAGTATTATTTCAATTTGAAATGGTTTAAATTAACTCGTTATTGATATTTCTTACTAGTATTTAATCAATCTTGTTTGGCATAAAGGTATCCTGGGGGGAATACCTCGTTATAGCCATTACTGGACAAGTTGATATAGAATAGATAGAATGTGGCTAGTAGTGTGATTCAGGATGACCATATGCCAACCAAGACTGATTAAATTTCAATCAGAATATCAACAATCGGATTGTACAAACCATTTTAAATTAAATTAAAATGTGTACATCTTGTAAAATTGAACGGTTGTTTGGACTTTGTAACTAAGTGAATAATACGACAGTGTTTGAAACGAGAATTACTGGGTTCAAGACACGGAGTGAATATGAACTCCAAGATACAGGTACATCCGACTGACGAGTTCCAAATGAAAAGAAATGTATGCACTGGATCCCATTTCTAGTCATATTTCATTTATTCTGTATTGACTAGAGCCTGTTTTCGTGTATATTTGATTGTTGAGTTTTTTTCTTTAGAAATAGATGTCAGCTGAGTAACTCCTGAAAACATGGGGACTGCTGTTAGATATTTTGTTTTAGGATGAAACTTCATAGTACTGAAAACGTATGCTGCTAATTTGAAGCGAGCGCAAGAACTTTAATGTGTAATTGCATTGCATGTATGCTATATGATAGCCAAATAAATTCCGAGTCTAATAAGACAATAATAAATAAAGTTACTATTTGTGAATCCAACTTGTAGTGATTTTAAGGACTTATCATTAATGTCAATCAGAAAAACGGTTCAAGAATATACATATATGTGATTTTCGTAAATCATATGAAACTAATCACTTCATTCTGTTCTTGGTATGTTGTCACAGTTTAATTTAAAATATGCTTTTATACTTTCTCTTACTGAAATATACATTTTCGGCGAGACTATAATTTAAAGATGAACCAATCACATTTATGATAACAGGTCTTGGATTTTTGGCGCGAAACTCATTCTTCCATTTGGCCAAATACCATTTCAGTATTATAGATTATGTCAGGTCGTGATGAAAACATTAAATCTAATTTTTCACCATAACATTCAACCATAAATCCTAGTCCCGATTCTTCACACTGATTTATCACCTTTACTTAACCCTGGTAAGTAGAATGATATTCCGAGGTCATTTTAGCGTTGCTCGAAAGTCGTCCATAAATTATAGTCTCAACACACTTTTTGTAAATAGAACAAATGGAATTAATTAGTCATACTTTAAGCTTTATTTTTAATGAGTTAGTTTTAGTTAATTAAGTATGTAAATTGGAAAAAAAAAATACTCACTTCCTGTAGGTCGAATTTGCGGTGAAACAGATATTGTTGCCGATCTTAATAAACCAGAGGATGGAAGTGTTGTTGTAGTTTCTTTGATAATATTGATCATATTATCATTATTATTACTGTTAGTAGTATGAGTAGTATTGCTGTTGGTTGTACCAAGTGTGAAAGTTGTCGACGATGGTATATCAGTATTAATAGTTTTATTGCTAGTAGTAGTACTAACAGTAGTAGAAGTAGTGATAGTTGTTATAGTGTTAACAGTATGAATTTTACTAGATATATTCATTGGTGCATCAGGGACACTGTCTACAACTGTACTACAAGTTGATTTAGATCGCTCACAATTAGCTAATGAAATACTACCACGTGCTGAATTCATTCGATTATAATCAGCTATGGTAGTTTTATCATCATTTGATGTAATATGCGCTGTAATTAATTTGATTGGATCATATTGTTCTGATGAACCGAATACTTGAAAAACACGATCAATTAATAATTCAACAACTTTTGTCTGACCTTTATTATCCATGAATTCCATCATATTAGCTACTTGAAATCTGTAAAATAAAATGTATGTGTATGAAACGAATAAAGGTGATAAAAATATTTAGGTTAAAGACTTTTTGGAGATTATTATAACCTAATTGGACTTTTTATCCGGGATTAATATCAGCTGAGGTGTAGTTAAAAACTAGAAAGAATTGGAAAACCATTTTTTCATGATTCAAATTTGTTTAAAATTGAAATTCACAATCCTTTCCGATATAAATCCATAAAACCTCAAGTCAAACAGCGTCAGCATTATGTCAACACCACTGAGATAGATTGCATTCATCCAAATATTCAACTCCACTTAATTAACCTCAGGTATAGTTAGACCCTATCGATCACTGTCTCCTACTGGAACACAGTAAACTGATCTCTAAGCCAGGTGTTAGTGTGCACATGACTGTATTGGCTAGATGGGAATTTTTGCTTACTGCTGAGACATCGGCTTCTATTCAGTCCTTTTCATTGGTATCGAAACTGACGTTAGTTCTTGATGATTATTATCTTTACATAGAATCGGATACGAAACTTGCTATATGTATAGAATCCTCAGAAAACTGAATTAATATCTAGTCATGCAAACTTAATCAATCAGCGGTTTTATCTAGTGCAATCAGTAACATTGTTAATTGTTTATCATGTAGCTCAGCCACATAGGTTACATCTTCTGTGTAGAATGTTGATAATTTATCCTGAAGCTATCTTCTTCATGTTAAAAAATTAACTCAGACCAGTCGCTCTTTACAGAACCTCTGAAAAATGAAATTTCTAGATCGGAGTTGTAATTCACAAGTTAAAAGTGAATCATTTTAAACGATTATATGCAATGAAATAAACCATATTTAACGTCCTCATAAATTTCATTAGTTAATGAAGACATAATCCTTGGAAAACACACGGATTAATATACTCATCAACTTCAGATGAAAACATAAAGTTTATTTACAGTATGACTACTTTTTTTAGGATTAAATCCTAACCAATATTTTCTGTTCAAATTTCTGTATGAAATATTTCCTAGAATGTATCTCAAATATATTCTCCGTATTGAATGGATGCCTGACTTGTAAAGTTATGTCTGGATGTAGTCGACAAGAAACCTTGAACCTAGGTATTTCATTACATAAAACTCATCAGTAAAGTGTACCTGTAATCTTGAGAGAACTGATATTTCTTAGCTGATCGGATCTATGAGTTAGATACATATTTTCTGTAAAAAGATACTTTATTGAATAATCGAATAAAATGTTACTTATTAGTTTGATTTTTTTAATGTTTAATCAATGTGTAAAATCCATTTCATTAACTTTCTTCAAGTATACTCAAGTCTAATTATTACGTGAAAGAATTGTCCATTGTAACTATGTACATTGTTATGTAATTAAAATGGAAGTTCACACACAGAATTTTAAAAAAGGTATTGTTATATAATGCAATCGGAAATTATTAAGTAAGTTTTATCAGTATGGGGTTGTGGAGATTGTTGAGTTTGTAAATGAGATCATGAATCGATGAATGTTAGACTACTATTGAAGACCTAGAAGCATTAGACATCCGTTTCGTCCCAGTATGGAGCTCATGAGCAATGAGCATCCGCGATCCCACATGCGGGATTCGAACCTATAGCCCTTGGTCTCGTGCGCAAATGATTAACCTCTAGACCTTTAAGTCGGCATCCAACGGTCTTTTAGCCTAATTATTGTATAACAGTGTATAATATGTATTTAGTATATTTTGTTGATATGCGTCAGTTGTTTACAACTAAAAAACAAATCAACAAAACATATCCATTCCCCCACCTTGTATTATTAGTTTAATACTTAGTTAGTTATTACTTCATCAATTCCTAAAAAAGCATTTCTTAGCATTCACTATATTTTCATCAATATGAGGTGTTTTTATTTTTACAATGAATGATCTTACATACAGATATATTTATACAATTGTAAGTATTTTCAGTTAATAATTGGTTATTGTTCTGTTCGATCAACGTATTTTGTTCATTTAATTAAGGTAATGTAAATCACTAAGAAACCAGAGAAAAATGGCGATCATGGAATAGTTATTTCACCTAATATAAAACTGCATAGTATCGAGGATCCTTAAAACTAGAAAGAAACAAATTCACAACTATCTAGACTGGTACAAAGTGTACTATAATTTATAGAATACTAAATTGGTAGATAATGAGGTTTTCTCATGATGGGTATTTTAGTGATGGGTATTTCAAAAAAGTGTGTACAAGAAAGAAATAAGCGATTACTGATTATTAGTTTATAAAAGCTGTAATTAAGAATGTAAACTTTTCTTACAGTGTCTTTAAACAGTAGCCAAATAATTCCTAACCTAAGAAATTGGTTATGTTTGTGGAGAAATCGGTGATAATCGGCAAAGCATGATGAATCTACATGATACTGTTTAATTCGTTATTGTAGAAACTGGTCATTATTACAATCCCCATAATTGGTTATATGGTTGTTAAAATGAAAAATGCTTATAAAAAAATAAATTTACAAACTCACTTAGGTCTTTGACGTAATACTGTTGGAGCAAACATTGTACCTAAATTAACAGCTCCCATTTGATTTTCCGACTGACATTCAGCAACTCTGTAATGTTATTAAGGTAAAAGTGTGGTAAATTTTTCAGAATTTGTTTATTTTACTACTTAAATAAATAGTATTGGACTTATAAAGAAATAGATTGTGTTATACATTTGCGAACTATACAAATACATCCTTTTACCCTATAATCTAAGCTCTCTAACGACGATATACAATTGGTATATGTGCCCTAACTAGGTAGTCTCAAAGCATCCTATCACAACAATAAGTAACAAAAAGTCAGTAATTATCAATCCATTCCTTTACTGTCTAACTAACAACCAAATATGAAACGGAACTATTAATAAAGTTTATACATTCCATCCACTATGTGCCGAATATAAATATTCAAAATAATTCTTTTAAAAGGTGGTTTATCCAGTGAACTTAACAACACAATAGTATTCCCATTGTGGTAATCTTTGAATTTGTTTTCATTTATACCTTAAAGTAATATTTGTGTTGTTTAGTATACGTTTATTTTACAGTGACCTTCATGATCTTCAAGAAAAATTAAACATCTATCCACACATAATGTCTATGTTTATATTGTTAGTAAGAGTTTTTATTATCATTCCATTAAATTGAATTTCGATCAATCTACGTTAGTATAAATGTATCCTGACAGAATTACATCGATATAACCATTATGAAACAAGGTTTAAAAATATATGCATTATAAATAACTGTGGAGAAAATAGAAATTATTTATTAAGCAAGTATTCTAATATATGAAGCTCTATTTCTGAATGAATATGATTCATTTCCGTATTTTATTTCGTTATGCCTTTTAGATCAATATGATGCAGCAAATATTGTCTTTTTCCCTTTTTTCAATAAACTAGATCGTACCTATAAATTGATGTGACTTTGTAACATGTATAGAGCGGCCTGTTTGAGTATCTGGGCTACCTGTTCCTGCCATCTAGATATTTCAACAAGTTATTTATTTTTGTTTGTTTTAATATATCATTATGTTTATTAATCGTATAACCTATTCTGCTGCGTTTCTGAAAAGTGTACAACCTTTCGTTGTCAAAGTTACAAAAACTCAATAAGAGACAATGTGGTTGCTGGCAATATACAACGAAAAGAATGTACATTGTTCAGATGTTCATTTACTGAACTGCTAACGTCTAACTGGCGATCACTAGATATTTATTGCCAGGACCGACCAAGAAGAAAGAAACGGAAACTTGTTAAAATACTTTATGCTGAGAATTCTATATTGTACCAAAAATATAATATTGAATAAAGCTGATAATAATAATAATAATATAATGAACGAAATACGTCCATTGAGTCATTAAAAAGAATGAAGACTATTCAGTGAAGAAAATTCCCTTTTTGACGATACCATTTTCTGATGCTGTACAAATGTATTTACAGGTAATTTCTTTTATATGTTGTAATCGATAATAAAATGGAGGAGTTTTACAAAAATATCAAAAGATCTTACGAATTATAATTTCTATTTATTGTCTTCTTCTCCTTGTCGTTTATGAAGTAGACAGTTATCTTCATCTTTTATCTCGCATATTTTTTTTATTACTTCCAATTTTGTTACATAACATAAGCTCCTAATGTTGGTTGATTATTTTGTTAAATGGTTCAACCTTTTCTAGTCGGTACTTGAAAAACTTTATTTACATTGAAATGAAATCCTTATTACTTTAAATAATTAAGGATCTCTGATTATCTCTACTATATTATGCAACATCATATTATTTCAATTGATCTCCGCTTGAATAAGCTTGATTATCTTTGATAATTTTGTAAAAACCTCTTTATTTTACTATAGACAATGTAAAACAACTACCTATAAATACTATTATACAGTTTCAGAAAATGATATCGTCGTAAAGAGGATTGTCTTCGCTGAAGCATCTTCGTTTACAAAATATATTAATGTTATTAGTACTAATGTCTTTATATAAATTAGACAATTTAGTCATAAAATGTTCTTATTATCCTGAGTTTATCGAGGTGCACTTAAACATTTTTAATATTTAATAGTTGAATTCATGGGTCAGTTAAAGCTAGACCATCATGAAAAATATGGAAGCACTGAACGGTCGTTTTGCGCGCTAGACTAAAGGTCCTGGGTTCGATTGCCAAGTATGGGATCGTGGATGCTCACTACCCACGAGTTCCATACTAGGATGAAATGGCCGTTTAATGCTTCCAGATCTTCAATGATGGTCTAACATCGATCAATTTAAAATATCATTCTAAACTCAACAATCTCCACAACCCTACACCTTATTCTCATTTATCAGCTTAATGTCATTGAGAATCAAAATGGGAAATTGTTTATGTCATAGTTGTGTATTGGTGATAGAAAGTCAGTCACATGTATATTAGCACTTGGCATAAAAGTTCATCTGCCCACGTTGCTGTACTATATTGGCAACGAGAGATAAAACTACCGGGATGAATACTAAATTAATAGTAGTATTTTGTAAGTAGTTGTTTTATCACAAACTAATCATTGTATTCCGGCTCAGTGGCCTAAGCATGTCTTCATATAGCAAAATAAAACTATTATCAGAGAAGGGTTTTTATGGATATTATAGTTATTTAGTAGTTGAATTCATGAGACTACCATGGAAAACCTGGAAGCACTGGACGGCCTGGTTTTCCATGGTTGACTCATGAATTCTATTACTAAATAAACCATTGTTTTATTCATTATTGAGTATCCCTTTATTACATGGTGCTAAATCAGAACATGCCAGTAGTTGAATAATTCCTAACTTCCCATCAATGTTCAAATATTTGGTTCATGATGAAAACCACATTGGAATTCGAACAAATACAGTTATGCAATTACAAATGAATAACCAAATCTATGAAAATAGTATGTCTTTATTCATAAATTGACAAAACTATTGGTAATATCCTAATCGTAGTCAACACTGAAAAAAATGTTTGTTACCCTTTTATTTGTTACCTGTGTAAATGATGAAAAATTAATCCAGCTAATTGACGATTACCAGGACTTAAATGATTAATCAATAGTTGAAGACGTTTCATCAGTTCATCAGTTATATTTGAATCAACCAAGTCAAACGCCTAGATGAATGTATAGAATATTTAGAAGAAAAAACAGAAACATAAAAGAATAATAAGCTTGAATGTAATTTAATTCATTTAACATTTTTGATAGTTGAATGTACGAGTCGATTTAAGTTAGAACGCCATTCAAAACATGGAAGCTCCGGACGACCAGTTCGTCCTAGTTTCATCATGTACTCACTAGTCACTAACTTCAAGATGGATTTCCTGTAGTTCTAATGAGAAACTGTGATCAGTGGAGTTCAATCGTATCTGTTCTCAGGCAATTTCTCACTGAAGACAATAGAGGACTGTCACATAATATCGTGGATTGGTTGGAGTTAGACATTAACACTGTTTGATGCTGGCTCAATGATTTCGAGAGTAGGCATTCACGTGTGAGATCGAAGGTCCTGGATTTGGGTCTCACGTATGGGATCCGTGATCATCTAGCTGAAATCAACTCATAAATTCAATCACTAGAAGTACTAAGATCTCGACAAAAGCCCCTTTCTGATTCAATATTTTTATTAAGATATTATAAAATATAAGTTGATGAAAGAAATCTTCCTCGTTTTCCGTTAAAGCTTCAAACTCATATATCTTTATATATATATATGTTTCATAATTAAGTAGGAAATTATTATCGAATAAATGGTGTTAGATCATTTCAACACAACATCGTGATAGATTTGCTAAAGATATTAACTGATCTCTAATTCAATAAATTTAATATAAGCAATGAAAAGTAATTACTTAATCAGTTAATTACTATAATTAATTACGTAAGAATATGAATTCAGCCTAAAATTAAGTAATTCAATATAAGTGTTTATCATTATTTATAAAACAATAATGAGTGATGAATAAAACGGATTAAATCATCAGTTTATTAAAAGAAATTATTTAAGAATAAAATTGGAAATTAAAGTTGAAGAGATTTTGAAAAATAAACGTAAGGTGAACTTAGCAAAAGACAAGGATACATTAAGAAGTTGTATAAACGTTTTCAATAATCAAATATAAGATTTATTAACGTATACATCTATAGCATTTATTGAATGCAAAACCATCCTGGTAACATGAAAGAAATTCAATAGAGTTTTTTCAAATGTTTTTTTGTAATATAAACTCCGATCATTACAGTATCGATTAGATGGTCCAAAACAGATCTCTCCTTTGTTTATTGATCAACCATGCTAGTTCAGTGTTATACAAATACATCCGCTTATTTACATGATTGTACGTTTAATGTTAACGAGACAATTTATTTGTGTAAAAAAGCAAAATGACACAAAATTAACTATTAAAGCTACAGATCAGCCTATTGAAATAAAATAAAAGTTTTCAGAGATTTATCATTGTACTCACTCATTACGTATTAAATAGGTTGATATAAAATAAAATATATATCACTGTTTAATATTTATATTAGAGATCAAGTGTTCACATGTGAGAATGAAGGTCCTGGATTCGAATCCTTTTGGTGTGAGATCGTGGATGTTGAGTATTCATGAGTCCCATACTAGGACGATATGAATGTCCAATACTTTTAGGTTTTAAATGGTGTTCTAACATTGATCAATTCATAATCTCAGTTAGACAACCAACAATCTCCACAATGCTATACTGATAAAACAGAATTATTCTTCTTATTGTAGTGTTATTTTGTCTTTACAAGTCTTTAATTAGAGTAAAATATACTTTTTTACTATACCACATTTAATATTCGATCATTTTAATAATGAATACATAATTCTACCTTTTAAAAGCTTGGTGGACTTTTGTTCTCTGAGCTGGATGGTTTGATCGTGAAGCTTTCGTCGTTCTTCTGAACGACATCATCTGAACAAACTTCAGGTAGAAATGAAAGCTCCACAACTAAACGATCCAGTTCAAAGAATAAAACTTCATCAAAATTATCATTCGAATAATACAACACTATGGACTTTTGTATTTCTTTATTTTCCAATCACTTTTTCAACTAATCATTGATTGATGATGTTAATCACATATTACATTAAACAGATTCTACAAATACAATGAAATAATATAATCATTGTTGTTTATTTGAATAGTAATTTCTATCTAAATGTAACCGGTCAAATGAATACAAAACAAAAGTAGTTGAATGCTATAAATACCACAAAATCTTGTCAAAAATAAATTAACTGTATTTACACTGAAATGACCTCAATTTGAGTTGATGATTGATTTTCGCTAGAAAATAAACATATTTCTATTCATTGTTCCGCTCCACTTAACATATATATATCATTTAATTATGTAAATATAACATTTTGGTTGATATAAAAGTCTACAAGTGAATCGTTAGGTTGTTGAAAACAAAAAAAAACATGAAAAGTTAGATTGTAATAAGTTGGGTTATATGCGTTGTTGTCGTTGTTTTTTTTCTCACTTGAACAATGTCATATAGATAAATAACGGTTAAGATGGTTGTTGCCAAACATGAAATTAAACTAGTGAATTTTGATTTAATTTACCTGAAAAAAATGGTTGATTGGCGAAATAATTGTAAGTGAACAATAAGTAAAAGCTAGAAAACACTGGATAGCTATTAAATGGTAGTATAGGACTTAGTTGAGACTATAATTGATGGATGAACCAATTAGATATAAGATAATAGGTGTTGAATTTTAGAGCGAAACTCATTCATCTATTTAGTCAAATAACATTTTGTCATTATAGCTAATATCAGTTCGGGATGAAAACATTAAATCTTATTTCTAACCATAACGTTCAACTATAAATCCTAATCCTAATTCTTCATACTGATTTATAACCCTCATTCAAACCTAATAAGTAGGTGGACATTTTCAAGATCATTTTAACACTGCCTAATGGTTAGCCATAAATTATAGTCCCACCTAGAACCTTTCAGCAGTTTGCATCACCGATTTCACCAGAAATCGAACACAAGACCTTCAAACGTTAGGATCACTTTAAACCTTTACAACACTGAGTTGGCATTCACTGATTTACTACTTTAAACTTGATTAATTCGTAATATTTCATAAGCATTATTTAGTAATTCAAATGTATTTACACATATCTATTTATAACATTGCTAAGTTATATATGATATCCATGACAGGACTTTAAAAATAAAACCTTGTACGTTTCTAGTATTAAATGACAACTAAGAATTTCTGATATTATTATTTAATCGATTTAAATCACTGCTATTCCTACTCTTCTAAAAATAATCTGGTTTATAATTTGTGAACTGATAGTTACTTGTTAAGTAAACATATTCTTTGAAGAGAATTAGAAAAATAATATACAGTTCGTATATTTCATCGCTTTAAGAATATAAACAACATGAATGCGTCTACTTATAGCTTGTTTTTCTGGAAATTATGTATGGTAATGATGTAGAAGGACGTGTTCAATAATCTGTTAAACATACTAACTAGTGAAATCTTGCTTTTATTGTATTATTTCAAAGTCTAGTAGGAATTCTGTAAATATCTTATCTCTTAGCTAAATAAGAATCAAATGTTGATCCACCGTTTTGTTCAATAAAGCAAATGTTTTGTATTATAAAAGATTAAACAATTTGACTAATTCCATGACCGTTCATAAAGTCATATTAGGTTTATGAATAATTATTTTTTTTAAAAACACTGGAGAAATCTGTCTGTAAGATTTTATGTATTTTGTGATTGGTAAGTTTGAAAATGATCCACTATATATGGTTATTGAGAAATTTTGAAAAAATCAGTCCTAAAAAAGATCATTCTTAAATTGAGTAACACAGTAGTAACATTGAATTTTAGTTTTGAATTGTCATAAATTATAAGTTTTAAAGAAAGAAATATCATCAGAAGGGATTTTGTGGAGATTAAAATAATTTCAATAGTTGAGATCATGAGTCAGTTGAAGCTAGACCACCATGGAAAACCTAGAAGCACTGGACGGTCGTTTCTTCTTATTGTGGGTCTCCTCAGTTGATGTCAGACATTAACACCGTTGAATGCCGACTTAGTGGTCTAGTAGGTCCTGGGTTCGAATCTTCCGAGGGGCGGGGTCGTGGATCCTCACTGCTCACCGGTTTCATACTAGGATTAAACGAATGTCCATTGCTTCCACGTTTTTCATGGTGGTCTAGCTTTAATTGACTCATGATATCAAGTATTGAAAGAAATATCAGTTCTTTGATAATTTTAAATACGCTCTACTAATGGATATTAACAAGTACTAAACATGAATACAGAACTTCTGATTCAAAATTTTAATTTGTTATATTATACAAAATTCACCGAAAAGATGAATTACTTCAATTATCAAGTAAATTACAAGTTATACTGTAAAATTCAACGGAAACCAAGTTTTTGACTCCATAACTTTATCAATTAAGAAACAATTTACATTATTATTAGAAATAATTTATATTATACCATTGTTGATAATCTGTACTGAATTTTAACCAGTCTTTATTAACACATCAAAAATGTTACCATCATCTATAAGTATATTTACTAATTCATTATTACAATTACCTAAATATTTGCTTTACTGATAGTGATAAATTACCATTAACTATAAAAGAATTATTTTTACCATACAATAAACTCTGATAAATTTCATATATAAACATTTTTTTTAATGATAATAAATATCAGTTGTTCAATCAGATATTTATTGAATATGAGAATACATGTGTTAATCATTTCACAACCAACCCCTCCCCCCCCCAAAAAAAATATACAAATTTATATGAGCTAATGGATTATTTTCCTAAAGTTGTAACACAAATTGACAGTGATTTATTTATTCTATGTAGGATAGTGAAAGAATATTATACCAATTAAAAATAATATACACCTTACAACTATATATTTATATTTAGATGAATTTTTGTTCTCTGGGCTGGACAATTTAGTTGTAGAGCTTTCGTCATTATTCTGAACGACATCATCAGCACAAACTTCTACTTCTACTTGACGTTTGTGTTGATGATATCATTCAGAACAACAATGAAAGCTTCACAACCAAACCATCCACTTTAGAGGAAAAAACTCCACCATATATCCATATTTGAGGATTGCAATATTATTTATAAATAAAACGAATGACTATGTATGTATAATGAGAAAAAAAGCTTGTCTGATTAATAGTTATTTCTTTTTTCACAAAAAAAAACTTTCTTTAATTTCTTTTCAAAGATTGTTATTTCTTTAACATCATTAAATTTATTCTATACTTTCTTTGTTATTTATTAAAGTAATTTCACATCATATTTATAGCACTAATAAAAATAAGAGAGAATGTAACAGCTGTTTCATTCTAGTTTTACAACTGTTTAACAGTATGCATACATAATCTCAATAGAAATTCAACAAAATATGTTTAGATATCTTGACCAAAGCTTAAAGATTAAAACTTCTTGGCCTCATACAGCTAGCTGACCAGTGATCATTGATATTGATTAGTGATTCAAACAGGATAATTCTGTAACGAATACTATATACAAAATGAACCAGTTTCTATAAGGTTTATTAAACAAATCATATACTGAGATGAAATGAGGTAGTCGAAAGGAAATCCTAAACCTAGGTTCCGTGTATTTGGCTGTCAATATGAAGGTAAACCTGTAATCTTCAGGGAAATGATGTTCTCTGAAGGATTCGATCCCAAGTCACTCAACTTCACAGTCACAAGCGTAATCTCTGAGCTATCCGGGATGCGACTGACCTCCTGTAGGATTGATACATATATATATATATACATATACAAATGACTGATCACCGTTTAGTGATCACTGTGATGTGTGTCAAGTGCTTCTTAGTGCAGATGGAATTCTATCGACCGAGTTGCACTCTGGTCACAAGTCTAGGTGATTCGTTATTGCGTGGAATATCTCATGGACCAACTCATTTCAACATATATAGATAGCTGTAAACAGTTGACTTGAAAGTAGATGTTTTCCCAATTTCAGAACTGCATAATTTGTTAGGCTCGTTTGACTATTGAAGTTTGATCTGAATATGATGGATTCAGATTGCAACTGTTTACTACACCTTTTTATAATATTCATATAATCCTTGATCATTTAAGTAATCATAACCTAATCAAATCAGTATGTATCGGTTAGTTGAATAGAAACATTTGTATTGTGAAGATTTTAATGAATAATTTACCTTAGTTGGAATCATTATTCATTGAATATTGATTGAATAAATTAGAATATGACAAAATATTTGACTCCAGTTTCTCATGATTGTGAATAAAACGAATTTTTATGATCAGTTCCTTCAAATAAACTTTAATTACATTGACTATTACAATGTCGGAACGTTTAGTTTTCTGAAAAGACTTAAACCATATTTCACTAAATATTCATTACCTTAATTAAAGAAATCAACAATCTCCACAATCCTATACTGAAAATTATCATGTACGTACTAGAAACCAGCTTCACAATGTATTTCCAGGATTTCTAGTTAGAAGTCGTGACCAGTGAAATCCAACTGTGTCTGTTGTGAGGTATTCACTCACTGAAGACAATGAAGGACAGTAACGCAATATGGTGAATTGGTTGATGTTAGACATAAACACAGTTAGTCGGCTCAGTGGTCTAGAGGCTGAGTGTTCACACGTGAGACTGAAGAACCTAAGTCCAAGTCCCTTTGGTGCGTGATCGTTGATGTTGACTGATCACGAATTACATATTGTGACGAAACGGCCGTCTAGTGTTTCTAAGCCCTCAATGGAGGTCTAACATTGATCAGTTCATGATGTCAATTAAAAGTCCTAATAATCTCCACAATTCTATACTGATAAATATTATTCTGTAAGGTGTGAAAATCCTTGATCCTGAATTAAAATTATATAAATGAATTGCCGATGGATTTTGTTCTAATATTTTTGCCTTATTGGATAGTGTATATTACAAATCTGCTTACACAAAATGTTTACAATGGATTTATAAACAATTTCTAAGAAGGGGTTTTGTGAAGATTTCAGTAATTTCAATAGTTGAAATGAAGAGTCAATTGAAGCCAGACCACTATGAAAAACATGGAAGCACTGGATGACCGTTTCTTTCTAGCATGAGACGGTGAGCAGTACGCATCCATGACCCCGCTTCGCGGGATTCGAACCCAGGACCTATCAGTCTCGCGCACGAGCGCTTAACCACTAGACCACTGAGCTGGCATTCGACGGTCTAACTTCAATCAATCCACGTAATCGCGCCACCGTACACCATTGTCTTTAGTGAGCTGATATCTCACAACAGACCTGGTTTAACTCCACTGGTTGTGGCTTGCATGCAAGATTGGTAGGTCCGAATCTCGGCGGGATCGTGGATGAGTACTGTCGAGGAGTCCCATACTAGAACGAGACGGCCGTCCAGTGCTTCCAGGTTTTCCATGGTGATCTAGCTTCAACTGACTCATGATTTCAACTGTTGAAATTTCTAAGAAGTTAGAAAGGATTGTTCTGGTTGATTTTTTAACAATCCATGAATACATTAAAGGGCAATATTAAGTATTAAATAGTATTTCACTTAATTTATAAAAATAATATATATAAACATTTTGCTTAAAATTAAGATTGTCTAACTAAAATTCTTTTTAAAAAAAAATAAGTATTTAAACAATGTTCACTGTAAATTTAAATGAATCCTACTTACCTTTCCAAGTTCAACAAAATTCGGATAAAGATTGTATGTGAGTAATGGTTCAGGTAACTGTATAATTATGTATATAAATAAACAGAAACAAAAAAAATAGTGAAAAGTAAAGTAGACCTAAGTTTATTTTTAGTTGAATAAGTATAATTAATATTAACAATCAATATTGGACAAAGTATTTCATGTTAACACAAAGTTTGAAACATGCATTTCGTCAATTTTATAAATCTTTACTATAGTGTTAATGTTCATACCAGAATTCAAACTTAGTGTCTATCACTCCAAACTGTTAACATTTTGTTCATTAGGCTATTAAGTTCCGGTAACTACTCTGTTTAGACATGTTAGGGACTTAAGGATAGTATAGAGACAATCTATTTGGGACTCACATATCTGAAAACAGATTTATTGTCTGCAGTTCACAAATATTAACAATGGATAGATTCGAACCATTAAAACTAAAATATACTTCACTGTTTATATTTTAAAAATTAAGCAACTTTAAAATTTGAACGAAATGAAGCTCATAATAAAAAAATATCTGTATATATGTCAAATAATTAATCAATTCGTTAGTCAGTTAAGTACTCAGTTGATTAAACACTCACTGAACGTTTACATAACATTTGTCTTTCTTTCTTTTGGAATTCCTTAAACAATCCCAGCTAAAACATCTCCGCAAACTGATTACTGAATGAGTTTTGTCTCATGTTGACCAAGCAACTGTTAAACAATTAACTTGTAATCAAATTTTATTTACTTCAAAAAAATACTATTGCAGCTATATCAGTACATGATGAACTAATAAAAGTAATTTTTAATAACCACCCAAGTAGCGTTTTTACTTGTTTTTGTATTGAACAGATAATTTTTATCAACATTCTACTTTATTTTTTTCACATTAATATGATGATAGCAATAATTTAATTAGAAAGTGGTTTTATGAGGTATGATTATAATTTATAGATTGCGTTCGTCATGGATTGACTTTAGTTGTGGAAGCAATGAATATCATGACCCATTGAACAGCTTATAGCACTCCCAATACCCATAAGCTTGTTTATGATTGGTTTTGTCAAGTCCTTCAGTTAACGTATTTAATAGACAGTGTTATTCGAACAGCACTAAGTTATGTATGTTGATGTTATTATCATGTATGTATAAACACATAAGGTTGATCACATGTGACAGCCTACGCACAAATCCCTATTCCTAGCTTGTATGTTAATTCTGTAAGTCGCTTGATAAATCAATCGCTTTCTTATAAATATAAGCTTGAATCTTGTTTATTCACTCGATTCTTTATTCAACTTTTAATTCGCTCGTTCGTACACATTAGCATTTCTGCTCAAATTTGTTAAGCGTACTTGTAGCTAAGTCATATGTACCATTCATTAATAAAATGTAGTCGTGGCTTCGTGTTGTCTTTTCAATTCATACACCGTTAAAGTTTATTTAATATTGGTTATCAAGGCGATTAAAATATGAAGATTTAGGAATTACCTCGAAGATAATCTACTATAAAATGTTTCGTCCTGTTTATCATGATTGCGTTCTTTAAGTTTTACAGTTTCATTTTACAAAAGATTGTAAGCCATTTACAATAGTGAATGAATCCATTAGGTGGTTAAAGTATACAGTATAAACATTTACATGAATTACAAAAATGGCAAAATAAAGTGGTTCTATATTAAAGATCACCATTTAAGATTTTCATATCACTGACGTTTTAATAAAAATAAAAAATACCCTAAATTGAATTCTTTTTATTGCAAATTACATTAGTTAATAATAATCTAGACTTCAGCAGTGTTTTGCATCAAATAGTTCATCGAACTTATCGGTTAAGTTAAATGAGCCACGTGTAGCGTATGCCTGAATACCGATTACCACGACGCTCAATGCTGACTAATGTTGGGAATTTTTAGAAGAAAGTTAGTGCTGGTCAAACCAAAACATGTCATCAGTGATTGAAGTCACTAACTTCTATTCTGAGACATGATGGTAGATACAGACTACTTGGTTGGGGTCCGCGTGACTATCATAATCAATGGTTGGAGACTTCGGGTGACATACCTCAGAATCGATCATAATGGCATAGGTGTATACACTTTTTGTCTTCCCTTAAACTATGAGACTAAAATCATCTCATATCTTTCTTTCTACGAACTAACTCTTTCTTCCTGTACTATATCCTTATATGCACTCTTTCCTTTATATTTTACACCATTGAGTTAACTGCTTCTATGAATCCGGTGTTCATCTTGTTGTGCTAGTGAGGTGTGACATCTTGAACCGATGCACATATGTGGCTGGTCCTACGTTGTAACTGACTGTACGTTGTTAAGCTAAATCGATGTAAACTTATAATAAATGAATCATAAGACTATATCACTTTCAATAACAGTGGAAAAAGAATTTAATGAACCTAGAAAAAATAGTAATGTATGATTATAAGGTTGGATGGATGGTGGCTAGCAGTGAAATCCAGGACATATGTTTTGTCCTGTTTGAGACTGATCAGCTGGATGTGCCAGCATCCCAGTGAATATCAACTGTGGGATGCGGGTAGATCCAGCTGACCAGTCCCAAATAGAAAAAAAGCGCTTCCTGGATTCCACTGCTAGCCACTATCCATTCAAGATTATAATGTTTGTGACTTAAGGCAATAAGGAGGCGATTCGCACAGTATGCACATATGCCAACAAAAGACTGATCAATGGGAAGATTTAAACAAACAATACGAATCTTTCGATGATTATGATGACTGCATGGTCATAAGGGTTTACACTTTGTTAAATTTTAATTCATCATTTCGAGTGGTTTAAAACAAAAACTGAAAGAAACCAAATGTTTAGTTGTTCCTGATATTCGATAAATTCTTCAATATAATAATTAAGAAAATAAACTTTAAAAAATTTTAGAAAATTCCAAAAAAACAAACAAAACACTTACGGCAATCAGTTGTGTTTTCACCAGACTAGCCAATGTAAGTGGATGTTCTTGACTTAACAAGTCGATATCATTTTGAATTTGTTCACTGCTAACTAATTGATTAGATTGTAACAAATCCATTAGATTAGAAACTTTTGCTTTAGACGCTGGTACACGATAAATTCCCTTATTATGCCAAAAAAATCAAACAGACAAAAACAAACAATAACAACTGATATTTTGTAATTAAACTGTAAGATTATGATACCAAAAAAGAATAAGGTATTTCATTTATTAGAATGGGGGTTTGTGGAAATTGTAGTAATTTCAATCGTTGATTTAAGCTAGACCACCATGGAAAACCTGGAAGCACTATACGACCGTTTTTTCCTAGTATGGGATTTTCCAACAATGCTCATCCAGAATCCCACATGTGGACCTTAAACCAAAATCTTCGGTCTCACGAGCAAACACTTAACCTCTAGACCACTGAGCAAACTAACCAACTGTGTTTATGTCTAGCTTCAACCAACCCACCATATTGCGTAACCGATCTTCATTGTCTTTAGTGAGTAACTACCTCAAAACGGACACAGTTGAACTTCACTGGTCACGACTTCTCACTAGAACTCACGGAAATCTATCTTGAAGCCAGTCATGAGGAATCGTGGATGTGCACTTCTGTAGAGTCCCATTCTAGGACGAAACGACTGTCCAATGCTTCCAGGTATTCAATGGTGGTCTTATTTATATCGACTTATGAATTCAATTATTTCATTTATACCAGGTGGTTCTTTAAAGAAATATTTTTGAATAACAAAACAATGTATTCCCCAAGAAAATAAATAAACAAATTAGTTGAGAGGGAAAATAAAGTAGAATCGGTTCAGAAAAATAAATAAATTGTATTTTATTTTCGTTCGTTTTTGTTGATATTTCAAGTTCTATAAATAGAATTGTTATTTAACTACGGATTAGTTACCGCTTTTTCCAAGTTGATGTTGCATTTTAAGAAAAAAGATTCATTTTATCTTATAATTTTTATAAATTATTGATTATTCTGCAGTGATGGTTGATATATGTGTCTAATCTTTGGTAATGATAGAATATTATCGCTGAAGTTGTGAATATACAGATGTATATCGTATGTCCTAAAAATGGATAGTTGAAGGTAGTCTGTAGGAAATGTTAGACCTAGTTGCAATCTTCAAGGAAAAATGGTACTTGTAGGATTCAAACCTAGATCACCCAGTTTACTGATCTGAAACCTTACGATTGATCTAATCGACTCACTATTGATTTACTATAAGACTGAGATATTTACATTGATTGATTACTGAATAGTGACTAAAAGTCTTTTTCTATGGTCTAATGCATTACTTGTGACTTAATGACAACATTGAAGCAACCCTCACAGAATTTATCTATGCCAAAAGAGATTAATCAAATGTAATTCAAACAACAATGGGGAAGATTCAAACAACCCATAAATAGGAAATTTCATGGTAAGACTATAATTTATGGACGAACCAATCAGATATAAGGTATCAGGTTTTGGATTTTAGCGCGAAATTCATTCAACCGTTTGGTCAAATACCGCTTTGGAATTTTAGCTAATGTCAATTCGTGATGTAAACCGTAAATCTAGTTCCTAACCCTAATCATCAACTGTAAATAATAATTTGGATTTCTCACGCTGCTTCATAACCCTTAGTTAGTTGTAGTTAGTAGCCGGACATCCTCAAGGCCACGTTACCGTCACTCAAAGGTCGTCCATAAATTATAGTCCCACTAATTTCATCATTATTTGAATTTACCCATTACTTCGTAAAGAGTAACATTACATGAAAAAAATAACTTCGTGAACATTTGTAATGAGACAACAACTAGACCCTCAGAATACCATGTAACTGAGTAGAAAGGAATAGTGAAAATGATCTTTCGGAATTCGTATCGGTTTAATTGTAATTTCATGTGCATCACAAAGAAAAAACACATGAAAAATTCTATCTGTTTATCAATTTAGGTTGAAAGTTATCAAAATTAGCTATAACATATGACAATATAATTACGAATATTTTACTTACATGTGTTGCTAGACCATTTTCTTGTTTTTCAATCGCTGCAATACATCTGGCTACTGGATAACATGCTGATAAATATTCTCTTTCTAAATTAGCTTCATGAATAGCTATTGTTTCTAAATTATCTATCGGATTGATTGGTGAGACTGATGAATTACTAAGACTATTTGTTGTTGAACGTTTATTACGTATTGATTTTTTAGAATCTGGTCGAAATAGATTAGATCCAAATTCAACAATAGTTGATAAAACATTACTACTTGTTGACACTATACCACTTGCAACTCCACAACCGCTGAGACTATTATTATTACTACTACTATTAGCAGTATTACCGATTCCACCACTACTACTACTTCCTCCAGTAATAACACTAAGACTTGTACTATTTCGTCCAGTTGTATTTAATGGCAAATCTGTTGTTTCTGTATCAGAATCAGAGTCTGAATGTAATGAGAGGAGATTACGATGTGCAGCTATCATAGTATATAAAAGAAGAAGTAAGAAAAATGTAGATAAATATGTCATGAGAGACAAGTAATTCATCCACTCATTTGATTAAATATCATTTTGACATTATAAGTTATGTCAATTCGTGAAAATCTTAACCTTAACCCTCAACTCTAAATCGAAATTCGAATTCTTCACGCAGGTTTATAACCCTCATTTGGTCCTAATTATTAGGTGGACAATCTGAAGAGTCGCTCAAAGGTCGTCCATAAATTATACTCTCACCAAACTGGCATAGTATATATTAAAGAATATCCCTCTTGTGTAATAAACAAAACATTTTATCGAAATAATCTATTCATTGTTGTAGTTGATTTCATATTTATGGTTAGAAAAGGAGAGAGTAGTGAAAAATATGAAAACTTGAATGCGTATTTTCTAATGGATTGATATTTATTCAACAATGGTTTCAAGATTTTTTATTGCATTGACCACTGTCACATCTCATGTAGACCGATAATAACAATCATTTTTAATTATACTTAGTTTTGTAATATAAATCTTTTAGTTATGCATCTATTAAGGTTTATGATAATTTGATACATTAATAGTATAATAAAGTAAGTGATTCATCAAGATACATTTAACCGCACTTAATAAAGTATATTGTTCTGATTGGTTTGATAATTTGAGATTCTCTATAGCCTATTGTTCATTTCAACAGTATAAATAGTACTTGGGGAAAGTTGATAGAACGAGGACAGGATAAAGTTATTTGGACAATGCTGGCTGGTAGCCTATGCTTCACATTAGGCAACAGAAGTATGTAAATAAGCAAATATTGTTTGTGTGCAACTACATAAAATAAATGAGTTGGCGCATTCATTGTTAAAGACATAGAAAACATAAAACTATTTAAGTAAAGATGGATAGTAACTAGCAGTGGAATCCAAGACGTCTGTTTCCTCCCATTCGGGACTCGTCAGCTGGATACACCTGCATCGAGTTTATGTTCACCCCGGAACTCGAACCTAGTACCGTTTGCTTTAAACGCCATCACCTTATCCACATATCTACTGAGTACTAATAGCCACCTGCTTGTGCAATGGGATGAAGTTTAAATTCACTAGGTGTTGTTTTACTTGTATCTTCTCATTGTTATTTAAGCCTGCAATTGATCAGTCTCATGTTGGAATACGTGCATTCTGTGCGGATTGCCTCAATATAGCCTTAAGTCACAAGCTTTTTAAACAAAGATGGGAAAATACAAGTAAAACAACATTAAAAATTGAAAGCGTTGATTGTCAGTTCAGTGATCTAGAGACCAAGCGTCGATTCGCACATTCCGAATCTTGGGTGTGCACTGCTCACAAGCCCCATATCAGGACGAAAAGGCCGTCCAGTGCTTTCAGGTTTTCAATAAGATCTATCTTGACTAGTTCATATTGTCAAGTGAATAAGATTATCCAATAAATAAATGACTAGTTCGAATAGCTTCAACATTTTTTCCCTATTAAAATATAGGCCCAAGTTATATTTTATAACATCACTCCATATTGAGTTAATCACCATAAAAGATAAAAATAAGTGTTGTATAATACGTTTTCATATCAAGTGACCAAGAGGTAATAATTTTGTATTTTCTTTATAAATAAATCAAAGTATATCAAATAACATAAATATGTGTAGAAAAGATTTACTTACAAAATATATCTAAAGTAGAGTCACCGGAATCTTTACCCAACCTACTTGTTAAACGACTTGTATCCAATCTATAAAATGAAAAATAGAAACATTAAAAACTGTTATTGAAAAACATCTATTCATTTACATGATAGATTTTCTATGTAATTATAATTTTTTTCATTTCACAAGACTTGGAAATGTTGCACAGTGAATTACTTAATTCATTATGAGTATCAATATTTCTACAGAGTTTTGTATTTGTCAAACCACGACAGAATTTGAATATATTCGGCCATAAATGCTACACACAGCAATACTGAATATCGAAATTTAACTGATAATGAAATGATGTGAGTTAAAGATGCATTACTGTATAAGCCCTGTATAATACCTGCGCTTATAGACTTATGTTTTAAGTATTCATGTTATTATGCTTAGTGAACTGGACTATCTTTGGTTGAACCTTCAAGTATTGATTTTCAGAATTTTAAGAAGAAATACAGTTTGGTATTTTGAATAAAATCTTTTTATTACAATAGATAGTTGACTTTTCAGGTTAGTTTAATGAAAGTAATCTGAATGAATATGGTGTATATACTCTATTTAGATCTCGTATGCTCGTCACATATTTTCTAGTCAGGAGACTTTATGTGAATTAAAATTAAATAAGTCAATGAGATGAAATATGTATTTTTCAGATTACGACATTTTTTGCTATCATAAGAGTTCAACATCATTTTTATGAAAGAGTATGGAAAATGTTTGTTTAGGAAAGACCTGAAATGCGAATCTGATTGATATTTTATTTTTCAAACTTTCATTCACGATTGTTCAAGTAAATTTGTAATGATTAAGTTAGCCAATATCAAAATCAGAATCTTCAATACGAACATCAAGATGCTGCTACTGTACGGAGTTCAAACTTCGACAACTACCACAACTATCATCAAAAAGATACAACTATTTATGAACAATTGTCTACACAAGATAATCAATGTCCATTGATCGGATACCATCACAAACAACCTACTGTGTGAGAGAATAAATTAGCTTGTAGTTGAAGAGAAAATTAGAAAACGACATTGTAAGTAGATGGGACATAAATTGTAAAATTCACCAGACTGCATCACGATGTAAGCACTAAGTTGTAATCCTGAATTGAAACGGAAAACCGGAAGACGAAATAACTCACTTCGTCGAGAATTGGAAGCAGACACCAAAAAGATGAATAGCAATTAAAAATAGATGGAAAGGATTGTCGAGGACCGAGTTGGATGGTGAATAGTGGTGGGCATTCTATGCTTCTCCATGAGAGATAACAAGCGTAAGTACGCTAAATTACTGTATAGTATTGACAAATAATCAATTATTTTATTTATGTTTAAGGTAATTAGAGAAATTAGTAAAATGACAGATCTCAACTTACTGAGATCACTACAAAATTACTTAAATTTTTACTGGAAACGATAACCACAGATGTATTTTTCTTAATCTCGTTCTCCACATGACCGTTGTTACTTAATGATTAATTGGAATCGCTGTTAGTTTGTTAAGTTTTGGTGTGTGTCAACATTATTTTTCTAAAACAAAATATTCTCAGTTTTACTATTCCGTTTGACTATATCTTTTTCTACAAAAACTACCAAGATTTCTTTCAATTCATGTATTTTTTATATTAGCAACAGAATATTGAATTGTTGTGTACTGGTTTACAATACTGAATTACTTAACAGAACCATTCGTATTTGAGTAACTTGATCTTTCTTAATTCCATATCTGTATTAAAAATTCCTATTAAACTCAAAATATGTTTATCATATGAGATCAAATGTACTACAACAATATACAACTTAAATATAATTTAATTTTAATTGGAAGGATAAATAAATTGTCATTAACTTTGGGTTTATTATTAGAATCGTCTTTTAAACGAAAACAAAGAAAAAAAAAGACGATACAAAAAAAGAAACTTAGCTTAAGTTGTGTTATTTTTTCATTTTACATTAATTATATAATATTAATTAAATCTAAGCACTATAGTAATTAATTTTACATAATAATGTATATATATTGATAATGAGACAAAACATCTGTCTATCTATTAACCTTTTTAAATTATCTTCCTTATGTCAGTCTTATTGTTTCTAAATATAAGCAAATCCATATAGAACCTTATCAACAACAACAGCAACAGCAAAGAAAACATGAACATAAATAAATGGTTGTTAAGACCAAAAATATAATCATAGTTAATAAACATATGTGCTCTTTAAAAAAACAAACTGTATATTACGAAATACATTCTTATTTTATGTTTTTATTGTAAGAGAAAGAAAAAAAAGAAAACAATTGTAAGTAATTATTAAATATAATTTTTATTTAAAAACACAATGTCTGATATCTATGTATATAGAGATGAACAATAATAATTGAACATATTATCTTGTTTAAACATATGAAATGTTGATGACATCATATGCAAATTGCAACAACAACAACAACAACAACGAAAAAATAAAAGAGAAAAAAACAAAAGAGAAAAATCTATCGCAATATTATTTATAGATGAAATAAAATTAGATATAAATAAATTTATTTTGTAGTTTCGAAACAATAAGGACAAAATAATAAAGTAGATGCATTGGTATAGTTTTGATTGTATGAATGATGAAGAGTTGATTTTATAATTAAAAGATATAGTTTTTAGTTAGTAGGTATCAAGTATAAATCTCTTTCAATCTATCTATCTATCTACTTTAAATGTGAATAATACTAAACTCTCATTAGCTGAATACGAATCGAAACTGATCACGTAAATCTATACTTAGTACATCAATAAATATTGAATAAATAATTACAACGAACAAATTATCGAGCAATTGTAATACAGTAATATTGTTATGTGGGTTACTTCTATCCACATAAGTAGTATATAACGGTGGTCAGACATAGAATATATTTCAGTAGAAGGTCAATGAGGAAAGAACGGGAACGGAGCGCAATTAGTATGAAAACTCATGAACGATGGAATCTGAGACAATGGATTAATGTTTACAACAGGAACAGTCAAGTTTGATATGATGGATTAATACTTTGCAAATTAACGATTTACTATACGGTTTTCAGATTTTATTGAGATGCACTATAGTTTTGTGCTCAAATACATTCAGTTGTTTCCACTCGTGTTCTTTATTCACTACAATATGAGTATTTTTTGATGGTAATCTTATCTTCGATTTTTTATTTTAGTTATATCAAATCTATTTGTTGATAGACATTTTCTGATTTATCGGAATGGGTTTTTTGGAGAGTTTTAGAAATTTCACAGGTTGAAATCAAGAGTCGATTGAAACTAGACCACCATGGAAAACCTGGAAGCACTGGACGGCCGTTTCGTCCTAGTATGGGACTCCTCAGCAGTGCGCATCCACGATCCCGCACCACGCGAGGCCCGAACCCAGGACCTACTGGCTTCGCGCGTGAGCACTTAACCACTAGACCACTGAGCCGGCATCCAACGGTGTTAATGTCTAACTTCAACCAATCCACGAAGTTGCGCCACCGTACACCATTGTCTTCAGTGAGTTACTATCTCACAACAGACCTGGTTGAACTCCACTGGTAACGGCTTCTCACTAGAACTCCAGGAGTTTTTCCTGAAGTCAGTCACTAGTGAGCAGTTGATTATTATCAGATTTATAAAAATTCTACCAACCAGTGGATTATAGGACTTTTCTTATGAATGCATTTTCAAATTCTTTAATTTCAGTATTAAACAGATGATGCATCTATCATTCATTTCTACTGTTTATTGTAAGACTTTTTAATTACGGTGAACTGAGCGAGAACACAAATGAGGACAACCAAATATATTTTAGTACAAAATTACAGAATATCTTGGTAAAATTAAAGAACCACACAGTAAACAACATCATTTGAAAAATATCAATCAATTGTTTCAGAATTTATTGTTCTCTCGTTTCCATATCAATCACTTGCTGTTCTCGATCTGTTCTCTTCGATCTTCGTAAGCTTCTGCTGCTAGGCATTCTACTTTCGTTTGCTGATACATACTACTTATATCTGTCGACATCAGTAGCACATACCACAATGGTAAAAAGAGACATAAAATGTGTTAAAGTTGAACTTTATAACTGATTGATTGATTGACATATGGAAATACTTCTTTTTCGACTGTCTGTTTGTTATATACCGATTATCTCAGGCTTTTAAAGTAGTTCAGAAAATATTCTAAAAGTGGAGGTTATTTTTTGGCAAACTTACTGTTGTTACCTCTCATAGAGAAGGATAGAACGCCCACCACTATTCACCATCCAACTCGGTCCTCGACAATCCTTTCCATCTATTTCTAATTGCTATTCATCTTTTTGGTGTCTGCTTCCAATTCTCGACGAAGTGAGTTATTTCGTCTTCCGGTTTTCCGTTTCAATTCAGGATTACAACTTAGTGCTTAAATCGTGATGCAGTCTGGTGATTTTTACAATTTATATCCCATCTACTTACAATGTCATTTTCTAATTATCTCTTCAACTACAAACTAATTTATTCTATCACACAGTAGGTTATTTGTGATGGTATCCGATCAACGGACATTGATTATCTTGTGTAGACAATTGTTCATAAATAGTTGTATCTTTTTGATGATATTTGTGGTAGTTGTCGAAGTTTGAACTCCGTATAGTAGCAGTGTCTTGATGTTCGTATTGAAGATTCTGATTTTGGTGTTGACTGACAGTTGTTTTGAGTGTCACATGTTCTTAACTGTAAGATTACTACCCTTCCCTTGACGATCCAGAGTTTCTCCATCAAGTTAGATTGAGTTGGCGTTTTCCGTGTTGTATTTGAGGGTCTTGGTGTTTTCTTTGTGTATGTTGAGGCCTACTGCTGCTATTTTTAACACACTATTCGAAACTATTCATGAGCAGTCAAATATAACAGACTCTGGTACCACGAAATAAGTGTCACATAAGAAAATCATCATCGTTTCAGAGAGTAATTATTTGATTTTAAACAAAATATGTCAATAGAAATCCTACATAGCTCTCATAACCTCTTGACAATGAAACGAAGATCATATGTATATATGTATCCTTAATTATTATAAAGTTGATTCATATGAGGGCATAAAGTTAGGTATAGAATCATTGAAATCAGAATGAAGTAGATAGATTTATTCTTCAAATATAGTGCTCTTCATCAGTTAGTAGCTATAAAATTACATGCCAATTAGGTATTTTGGCATGTGCATTAACTTAGAGTTTATTGACAATGTATCGAGGTTAAATACTGTAGCTAATGGATTGAATTTGAAAATGTGAATGCTGAAGTTTATAGATTTGATTCCAAGAGACTGTGTAATTGCTAGCTGTAAATAATCTCATATGAGATCAAAGCAGCTAACTAGAGCTTCTTCGTTTTCTTATTACTGTCTCAATAGAAGTTAATTCATGATTTGAACTACAGTTTGTCAAATTATATTAATATACAACTGAATCTTTTAAATATGAAAAACATTCAACGAAACTATGCATATGTATAATCATTAAATTAACATACTTTGATTCATGAAATCCATCGAAATGATATTTTTCCGGAATAAATTCAGTACCTTTTTGAATATGTGATTCAACTAATGTACGATAATCACTACATGGTACATAATCTTGATAAGCATTTGCAATCATTTCATACTGATGGTATGAAAAAAATATGCCAAACAAATGGAAAAACAAGAAAGCAATCAGAATCATAAACATAATTTAAACAAAACATTATGTACATTACTATTCAAATGGAATATATAAACACATTTACGACACGAAAAATGTATCTTTTCTTTGATGATAATAATTGGAAATATTTTATTTAGATAAATTAAAGATTGTGTTGATAAACAATCATAATATAATATTCGGTAATCATTTTATCGGTAAATGGTCATTGGCTGACCAAGTAATTCAATCGTAAGATTATATACTGTAAAAGTAAGTGACATGGATCCTACTCCCAAATAAAGTTTCAGTTTGATGGATAATTAGTATAACATCCATTTAATGAGTTTCCTGATGAATACTTTCAACCATTTAACACTAATTATAGATCGCCGGACACTATTAGCAACAACCTAATGTGGGAGAGAACAAATAAGATCTCAGTGGAGTAAGAAATCAGGAAGAAGCGCTGCAAGTGGATAGTACGCACATTGAGGAAGGCACCCAACTGCGTCAAAAGACAAACCCTAACTTGGAATCCTAAAGGCTAAAGGAAAAGAGGAAGACCAAAAAATACATTACGCCGGGAAATGGAGATAGACATGAGAAAAATGAACAAGGTTTGGATGGAACTAGAAAAGAAGGTCCAGGACAGAGTGGATTGGAGAATGCTGGTCCGCGGCCTACGCTCCGTTGGGAGTAACACGCATAAGTAAGTAAGTAAAAATAATACATTTAATTATATGAAGGTCAAGATGTAACTAATTTTCTTTTAAAAAAATTAGAAAAGTTTTTGTTTACAGTTTACCAGCTTATTAATATTTAGTACTGATATTGTAAGTTATCATTACTGAATGTAATAGTCTATATAGTCATAACTGTCTCAATCAGAGAAATGGATAAAATATTCATTAACTATTTTGTGATAGTTTCATATTGCTTTATGAAAGCTTACGACAAATAATAGTTTTATATTATAAATAAATCATTTAAAGAATTATTCTATTCATTTCATATATATACAATATTGTTATGGGAATTACTACTTATAAAAGTATTGTCCAGAAAACTTGTTTAAACTTCAGATAAACAATCATAATCAAAATTATTAAAGAAATATATCATGTTTATTAAGCAAATCTAATCTATATTAAGTGCTTATCTAAACATATTCAGTTGTTAACTTTAGTAAGTAGGATAACATGAGAATTATGTGAAAAGTTCACAATACGAAGATAAAGGGATGAATGATTGTGTGTGTTAATGCATGTATAAGTTTGAGTTACTAATAATAATATGTGTGGTGTATGCTACTTATGCCAACAGAGATAAGTAGTATGTTGAAGAAAATAAGTGGGATAGAAAGCAATTGTAAACTGGAAGAACCATACAAGAAATGCTATCTAAGTGATTAACAAGTAATACAGTTGTATCTCAATACGATTCGTGGAAGTCATGGTAATCAAAGGGGTTAGGGTTTAACTTTGATTCTTCTAAAATCATCATCATAAAAAAATTTAAAACTCGGTAAATAATTTAACTCTTGACTTCTTTTACATTCCAGATAGCTTGTTCTTCATTAGGATTCCAAATCTAGCTGAATTAACCAACCAGTTGAAACTATAAAAACTAGACAGTTGTTTCATTTTCGTACAGAGCTCCTGAGCTTTGCATACATACGACTTCATTAGAGATTGAAGACAGAACCTACAGTTCTCACAGGGTAGGCCTAACCGTTAGACTGCTGAACTGGCATCCAAAAGTTGAGATATCTCATCTCAACTAAACAGCTATATTTTACAATCATCATCAATTGTCTTTGAATGAACAACTGTTTGTCATTTAAGAGAATTGAATTCCACTGACCACAACTTCTGACTAGAGCTCAAATAATTGGTTTTTAAATGATTATTCATTTCGTGATCTCAGTAACATTCAGCAATCCTAATAAACCTTACATAGTAATAATTATTAATTATTAGTTCATTATTAATTATAAACATTTCAAATTATTTTAATAGTTATAACTGAATATAAAATAAGAAAAACAAACAAACAATGAATCCATTTTATTCTTTGTACATATCAATATTGTTACTTCATAAGTGCTAGAACTAGATATTAAAATCTTTGTTATTCAGTTACTTACAATAAGTTATCAAATCATTTACAAATAAATTAAATGCTCAATATAAATGATACAAATGAAAATTGTTAGAGTCAGTTGTATAGTTTTGATAATTTACCTGTTTTATCATTAATGAACGAGTTGTAAACAAATGATTTAATAATTCCGCTAAAGAATCTTTAACAACTTCATCACTTTTTGTTATGGTTAAACGTGTATCGCATAAAATCTCAATCTATAATTTTTAAAAGCAACAATAAGGATCAACATTATTATCAAAACAATAATAATAATAATGTAAATCATTGTTCAACGATTCAGCAATAATGAATTAAAACAGTATTTTTATTAACTAATGAACATAAAACAAAATAAATTGACAAGAATTAGTTGATCAGTGTTAGTGTTTTTTCATTTGTTTATGATCAGAATGTAAATCTAGAGATTAGGCGTTAGCGCACGACACCGAAGTTCCTGGTTTCGAGTTTCATATGCAGGATCGTGGATGAGGATTGCTGAGGAGTACCAGAGTAGGATGAAACGGCCATTCAGTGCTTTCAGGTTTTCAATGGTGGTCTAACATTGGTTCATTGATGAATTATTATCATTTATAACTTCCTACTGTCACAGAATGTAAGTTTTTCTTAAACTTCAGAACCATATCGTTTTTGTATTGTTGTAATCTTTGGGCTCATAGTGAATGATTTAGAGTTTTTTGTTTGAAATCAACGCTACAGACTGTGAACTATAGAAAAAGAATCTTTTGTTTCAAGTTTTGCTCTACTGATTACAAATTCGACTATAAACTACATAATAGAGCAATGCACTTCGAAGAACACAACATCAAACATGTGTTTTAGCTAATTGTGAACTAAATTTATTTATATATGATATAGAGAGCAAGAAACGTTAAACAAATTATTTTTCTCTGAATGAAAACGTGTCTGTGATATAGAGATCGCTATATGAATAAGTCATATGTTGGATCAAATCAGTACTTTTTAATTCCTGTTTATCAACCGTACTTTAGCTAGACTTAAATCATGAAAAAAAGATGTTTTGCACACAGATTATTTCTTCATAAACTAATCGAATGAATAACATTACTGATAACCATGGACTTCTGTTCTGGACTAATTTTATGATGTTTTAAAAGAAATATTCAATAGAAAAAGGTCGATCAACTTTAAAATGATAGATGATAGCTTATCTACTAAGATTAAATTAATCTATAACAGCATAAGACCTGATACAATTGTGCAGTATTTAACTAGCTAAATTTATGTCAATAAAAACAAGATATTAACACCGTATAAAACAAATGATTTGGCATAGAAAATATCAAAGGCTTATGAAACGAAGCAAAGGGGGGATATAATTCAAATCAGGAAATTTAATGCTTAAGATGACTTTGAAAATCAAGATGGAAATCATGTGGAAGAAAAAGAGCGACTACAAACACTTCGTTGCTGTCTGAAGTTTATGTTTTCAAAAAAAGAAGGAGAGGTGATATGATGGAAAGAAAAGTCAATTTTCGATTGATTTACTCATTATGAGTTTTGTTCAAGACTACTTCTGTTTTGATTCAATGTAATGATTACTCAATGTAGTATTTGTTTTATTGTCTCGTATGATATTTTATTCTGTATAATATACGAAATTCGTGTATTCCATTGAAATGAACTATGCTCAGTATGTGATTTCTTATAACTTTATGTATTTTTCATATATGTGATTTCATCCTAATTATTAACCAAAATGGTTGTACAGCCAATATATAAATGAGTGTATTTTCGACTAGAGTCGTCGTCGTGTTTTGGGGTTAATGAATCATCATTTATACCAGTCTTTGTGTTCTTACTTTCGCGTCGTGGGAATTGTCGATGTTCCTCAGTCCGAGTATAAGTGATAAGCGTTTCCGACACAACAATCAGTGACAACCAGACATAACAAGTACCGTCCAATCCGAAAGACTTATCAATGGCGACAGGGATTTCGGAAAATATCGACAAGACTTATCAAAATAGAAACCAACCATTGGGAAATATTTTCTAATGTCGAATGTTTTTATGTTATGGTTTATACTTCACATCAATAATTATTAAGACAAATAAAATCATATACTTACAATTCAAATAAATCGCTCATAGAATTTATAACTTTTAATGACTTATGTATAGTTTAAATGTTTAACTATGGGTTTTTGTTTTCTTCTATCAAATGAAAATTTGTAATATACACATTGATCTACTAATACACAACATATCCCAATTAAACTAATTAATATTTACAATAATTTACAAAATTGGATTATATTAACGAAAAGAAGTTTTTTTCTATTACGTAACATGTTATGTATGATTAATGAAAAAGGAAAACCTGATAAACATTAATATTATCAGAATGGGTTTTGTGGAGATTTTAGAAGTTCCACTGGTTGAAATCATGAGTCTATTGACCACCATGGAAAACCTGAAAGCACTGGATGGCCGTTTCGTTCTAGTATGGGACTCCTCAGCAGTGCGCATTCACGATCCCGCCCCCCACGAGATTCTAACCCAGGACCTACTAGTCTCGCGTCAGGCGCTTAACAAACCAGACCACTGAGCTGGCCGGCATCCAACGGTGTTAATGTCTAAGATTGATTATATTAATTAAATAATATTTATAAGTATAGCCATATATCTAAATTGGAAGAGAATAGACTTATATCATTTTTAAGATTCGTAAATAGTTACTGATATTTGATAATCAACGAATTCATAAGGGTTATAATATTTAAATGATAAATGAATTAATTCAATATTAATAAATGACATGTAATTTTGTGGTGATCTATTTCGAAATTTGTTCATTATCTTTTTTGTTTAAACACAATTCCATTTAATGTTTCACATTGATTTATCAAGGCTGTCTAAATATCATTTTTAGCTTTGGCTAATTACCATATTGATTTTTATTATTTTCAAGAGACTGGAATGATTAACCGTTATTTATGGTTCCTAAAAAATGATCATAGTAAAGTTACTAAAGAAAAATATATATTAATTGTTGACTGACTAATGATTGACAATGTCTTTTATGTTCAGCTTTTTATATTGAACTGTAAAATGTTATTGGAAAAATGGAATAGTGGTGATTATATTGAGGAAAGAGTTAAGGACGATGTTAAAGTGATTATTGAAATATATTGAGTTACTTTGTTCAAATCTATGTTTCTTAGCACTTCAGTTTTCAAATCAACTATTCAGGATGATTTGTGATAATATATAAGAGTTGATTAAGTATACTTAACTGATTCATTACTGACAATAAGTTAGATCATTGTGGGGTTGTGGAGATTGTCAAGTTTTTGATTGAGATCATGAATCGATTAATTTTAGACTACCACTGAAAATCCAGAGACACTGGATGGCCTTTTCGTCCTAGTGTAGGACTCATTATCAGTACTCATACACGATCCCACACACGAGATTCGAACCCAGAACGTTTCATCTCTAGATTGTTGAACCGGTATCCAACGGTGTTAATGTTTAACTCCAAACAATTCACGAAATCGTGCGACCAACTTCCATTGTCTGAGGTAGACACCTGTCTCTACGTGACACGGATTAGATATTAGGTTTTAGTCCCACGCTTCGGACCGTGGATGTGTAGCGCTGAGGATTTCTATACTGAGACGAAAAGGCCGTCCAGTGCTTCCAGGTTTTCAATGGTGGTCTAACATTCATCGATTCATGATCTGAATAAAAAAGTGAGCAAGATGTTTGACATACCTAATTTATTAGTACTAACCAAAATGTCTTTTAGTTTACCTTATCTAGTATGTGTTGCAAGATAGGTATATGATATACTGTTATAGCATTAAACTAATCTAAATCATGAATACTGGCAGCTAATCAGTTTATTGTTTTTATCCATTAGTATCCGTCTTGTTTAACACTTTAATAACAGATTTTATCCATGTTATTTACGTTGTGATTGGTTGATGTCAAAAACCATTTGTGATCACCACTTCCTGGTCAGATGCTTGAGTTAGTCTTCGTTATTTGCAAAAAAGTATTAGAATATAAAGACAGTTTTTATCCCTACAGTACAGATCAATGGACTATATGGTTTTTCAAGGTATTGGGTCGTTGGATGATTGAATATAGTTGACGAAAAACACGACACTTTGGTTTTATGTTGGTTGACATTCGTCAACGAAGTCTAACTACAACCTTGAGAAAACTGATGATCCCTGTGAAGGGAGAAAAATCGTTTGTTTTAAACATTGAATATCGGAACGGTATTGATTTTATACTCAATTTTAAAATATACACATAATGAAGAGATAACTATATGAAACGTTTTCTCACTCAAGCTGTAAATTAAAAATAATCACTAAATTAGAATGAATATTGTCATAGGTAAGTTCAGTATAAGCAAAAACTGTTTTAATCTTACAAGAAGAGGGGAAGCCAGAATTTTCATACGGCTGAGATTTCATTTTAAAGCGAATTTATACTACTCTATGAAGTCTGAGTTTTGATCAGAGATATAACATTTTGTGACTGGGTGTCGAGCGATTAACATGGACGGACATTTATCACTACTTCGTAATTCATTCTTTAAATCTTTAGCTTTCTGGTGTTACCTTATTACATATGCATGCTTTCTTACCTATAAAATGTGGCCAATCATCTGTGTGTATTCATAACCAGATACACGTGTAAAATCGGTAAAAATAATAGTAAATGACACAAAGATGCTCGTAATTCTCATGCTGTTGGATTTTTGTAGTTTTCAATCTAAATGACCATGACTAAATAATAAGTTCGACTGACCGCTGATCAAAATATCACTTCTAATTTGTGTGTTCGTTTAAACATGTTTCTCCACATCCTAAAATGAAATTGATCTTAACTCAGTAGAACTAATCAGTCACCTGACAGATTTTAATGAATATCCATTTTGTAGCTATGTTTTATTTAATAAATTCATCGTATGTTTTTATAATCAAAATATTCATAATTGTTATTCTTATTCTTCCATAGTGATTAATTGTTATTCCAGGTTAGAATCCTTTGTTATTATAGAAAAAAACTGAAAAAAATATTAATAAATACTTAAACAAAGTAAAACGATTTGTTTTTTTCTTTTATAAAACCTAATCTTGCCCCTGGTGCGGCCGAGAGTGGGGAGAGTCCGCTCTCCCTCTCGAAATGCTCTCACATGGCCACGCGTATATAGCCTCTACCAGGGAAGTCCTACTCACTCTCTTCTCGTGGCGGGGGTGTTGTTTACGAAAATGAGAGAACGAAAAGCGAATGTCCGGCGCTTTAACCGGATTCCAAATCAATGGTGCACATGGACTTCAGTATCCTGTGAGAACAAATGGCGTATGAACCAATTGTTGGTCACCGGCTTCCATGGGACTGCATCTCCTTACGATCCTCCACTGCCTTGTGGATCAGACCTTCAAGTCGAAGGCTCGGGAGGTGGTCCCCTAAGAAAACCACCCGCTTCGGTTTGGGCACCTGGGCAGTATCACAGCCCTCACATATATCGAATGAGATTTGTGTGGCGCATATGTATTTGGTGCCTCCTTGTACCAATATCTATGCGTTAAAATAAATAAATACATTTATAATCTACCTTGCTTTTTTCCAGTTCACATAAACGATGATTTGCAATATCTACTGCTTCACGATAAGCATACATCAGTTCAATTTCCTGTTAGAAAAAAACGAAATTGTATAATACATCACAAACAAGAATTTTTGTTTTCATTTTCTTTTTTACTTTTTAAAGAAAAAATATGGTAAATAATAAGGATACAATAAAAACATATGAACACATTGACAATCTAACTAGTTAACAATTAAACACTGGTTTATAAATGATTATTAATTGTGAATAATTCAACATGTAATCCACCATGATCGGTCTAAGTATCTTGTTATTTTATGTTTATTATAATGTTTGACCTGTACTACTAAGGGAACTTACTATCAGGAGTATTTTACTGCTTGACAATCAGATTCTCCATCTTAAACATAACTACTTAGCTATCTTGCTGTGATTGGTTTCACGTACTATTCATACATGCAATGATTAGTCACTGAATGATGACCATAATTATGTTTGTCAAATTCATTTTTATGCTAATCGAATTCTATCTTTCAAGTTACCATTCGAGTTCTGGTTTATGTGACTAGACATCGCTTACAGTAAGTTGAGGGAAATTATTAGTACTTATTATGATTGTCATTATTTACCTTTTTGTCATTATCACCTAATTGTTTTTCTAATCGTTCAACTTTTACTCTTTGTTTAGCAACTTGGTTTGATGTAGAAGTTGATAATGATGAAGTTGGATTTGATAGATTTGATTCACCAATATTTGAATCATTCATTAAATCTTGTGTTAAATTTGCATTACTTCCAGCAGTTGAGCTCACTAGATTCGATGAATATGAATTCCCAGCAGTATAAACAGGTAGACCTGAAAAAAGATTTTTTTACACAATTATCTATCATAATTAAATAATTCACCTGATACATTTGTTTGTGTAGGTGGCATTATCGTAACAGATGAAAATGATGATGATGGTGTTGTTCCTGTTGACGTAGATGTACCACTAAATGAAACTGACGATGATTGCATAAGAGAAGCAGATAATTCATTTAGAAGATTTTGTGCTGTAGCTAATTCTTCACGTAATTTTACACCAGCTTGACAACGTTGATAATATGTTGTTTTTGTTTTAAACAAACTATTTTCAGCATCTAACATACGTTTTACATCTACTTTCCATTTGTCTTTAAGAAATTTCCTGGTTTTTTCAAATAAAGTACGTTGACGATTTAATACCTAAATATGGAACAATGAAAGTCAATCATCTTAAAGACGATACTTTAAAAATGAGAAAGAATACTTATATATATATGACAGTTTGGATTTTACGAACAAATAAATATTTAGAAAAGTCCGGAAGTATTTTTATATCAATTAAGAGAGATTTACTAGGTCAGAATTACTGACAAACGTGAGGGGGAAACATGTCAAAGAATTTACAAAAGTATAATTCTTATACAATATTTCTTTTATATTGGCAAAACCTGTAAGCGACTTTTATTTGCTGTAACATAAAGTTTAAAAGTTTTGAAATAAAACTGATACATTGGTAATTTTCATTTATTGAAGTAGAAATGTTTCAGAAGGGGTTTTGTGGAGATTGTAGTAATTTCGATAGTTGAGATCATGAGTCAATTGAAGGTAGTCCACCATGGAAAACCTGGAAGCACTGGACGTCCGTTTTATTCTGATAGGTCCTGTGTACGAATCCTGCGAGGCGGGGTCGTGGATGCGCACTGCTGAGGAGCGCCACACTAGGACGAAACAGCACTCCAGTGCTTTCAGGTTTTCCATGTTTTTCTAGCTTCAATTGACTCATGATCTCAACTATCGAAATTAAAAATGTTTCATTTAGTTATTTAACGTTAGTTAACACGTTAATACAGAAAATGAGGTATGTTATGACTGAAAAAGAAATTCTGTCATTAAGGAACAAAGTTTGACAGAAATTCATTGTAGGTATGAATGAAAGAATTTTAAATTTATGAATTTTGTAAAAAGACATTTTATCTTAGTCATCAGACTAAGCTACTAAATCATGAAGTGTCTTTCACTTTACAACGTAGCTAGTGACAATTGCAATCCGAGTTCTATGTACAATGTCTAAAATAAAATTGTTTTTCATATCAGATATTGACTTGAATTATGTTATTATTTTCATCTTTTGATAGTGCTTCCTCCGAAATACTAAATCTAAGATGAAATCAATGTGAGCGTTTATTTTAATATTGAATCATGTATTTAGGAGCTTAATTGAACACTTAGTGCATAACAATAATCAACTTCCCTTATGAATTATAATAAAAGACTTTTTAATAGATGTGACTGTGTTTATGCAATTCTAAGATGAAAAAAAGATGTGTTTATACGCTATAATCGCAAATATAGCTAAACAGACTGGAAGCTTGAGTTCTTTCCAGAACGTACTTCATATTTTAAATATTTGTGTTAAACATAGAATTGTGACAAAAATATTTAAGGAAACTATCCCTCGTTCCCACCAATCTGACAAGCATCGGTCAGGGAATAAGGCAATAATCAAGCTAAACTATTTAGTTATACCTCAATACCGGATGGTTTAAGAAGTATAGTAATCAACCAATGTTAAAGTTAAAAAATAACAAACAACCAGAATAGTTCAATATTTATTACTGACTAATAGTTCAAGATTGTTTCTGTAACCGCTAAATATAATATTAGAAGATCATTTATAGTCTTTAGAAATCTGTTGAAGTAACAAATGGATGGTAATGAAAACGATGAAATATCGATAACCAGGAATATAAGGGAGATAATAACTTGAGATGATTTAATGGTTAAAATTTTAATTTACATATATAATTACGTTACATATTGTACTTGGTTCGTTGCTCGAACCAGCTTACATTTTGTTCAGAATGTTAAATGTTGAAGTTTATGTTGTTGTTAATGTTTTTTAGTCTATTGCAATATCGATCAAAATTTAGTCGGGTCACAGTCTTGTGAATTTTACAGTCTAACACAAAATATCATTTCAAACATAATGAGTAGTTACAAATTACATGTTATTCACCAATGAAATGCAAAGCATATAAATTCGCTCAACTACAAATATAAAAATATTAGAATTACAGAGGGAATTTTTTACCAAACGTAAAAAAAATAACAGTAATGCCCAACACATAACGTAACCAGATGCCCAGTTTCAGTGAAAAACCATGAATAATGAAGTTCGACCATGTGAATGAGACAAATATCACTAATGACAATGAACGAAGGTCGTGTGATATTGTAAGTTGACTGAAATTATGATTGTAAACCAGTGAATACCAACTTAGCTGTTTAAATATTAGCTGCTCATTCCAATGTCTTATTGTACTGGGTTTAATCTCTAGCGAAATTGATAATGAGTAGTGCTAAAACTTATCACTGTTCAATAATTTTTGGTTCTCAACTGTTTTTATTAGTTCAGTTCATAATTTACATTACAAAATTGTTCAGCTATTAATTTAAGCTGATCTCATTTAATGTAAAATTACTTCAATTCAATTTGTTATAATTTAATTTATCCTTTTATTAATATTTCAATTGAATTACAATCAATCTTCATTTTCAGATATGAATCCTAGGAAAATTGCCTTGATATAATTATAACATCATAGGTTCATTTAGTTGATCAATTCCAAAAGTAAATGAAACATACAGCCTAGTTTTTTTCACTAATAATCTTATATTATTCATTATAAATATATAAATATATTTATAATTGACTAATTAAAACTAAAATCTATTTTATTATTAAAATACCTTTATATATTTGTTCGCTTAAAACAATAATAATAAGCTAACAAATTGTACTGAATTATCATTCAACCAGTTATTTATTTAATAAATAAATAGAATAGAATAGAACTACAATATACAAACATGTTTATTTTTATAATAAAAAATCAAATATATTTCCTTAAAATATAAACATTGATCGATAATGTTTAGAAAAAAAACAATAACGAAAACGAAACCAACAAAAAAAACGAAAAAAAGTGACTTGACTGGTTCATAATATGAATTGATTTTTCTCATTGAAAATTGGCGCCAATTGAATAGTATAATAAAACAAGTGACATTTATCTAGAAAAATTTCTTTAGTTTAATAGTCGAAATAAAAAAAAAACACCCCAATAATTTAATGTGTACTTATTCAAGTAAAGTTTATTTCTAATAATAAATGAAATGGAGGAATTGAATTATTCCACACAACAACAAAAACCAATATCATATCTTCCAATCTTAGATTTAATACTTATACAGGTTATTAACCAAACCTTAATGTATACTACTTAAAATGTTACTACATGTAAAATGTATGGAGCAATGAAAGTTTCTTTTTTTTCTTTTTTTTTAAAATTACTTCACTACATATTTATTGGTAAGCATTTATATTTGTGCACAATTGTTTTTTTTCTTTTCTTATTTTAATAATGGAATAAATAAAACTGTAACCTAATACATAAACACATTAACCTTTAGGAAGAAAATCCAACCTGTTTTTTTCCTTTCAGTATCATTAGGATAAATAGTAATATATACAAATATATACAAGGAAATATGCAATAGAATATTTCAATTATATAAGCAAATTGTTCTGTATATATATATATATATATATATATATATATATATATATATATATATATATATATGGATATAGCTAGGTGTACAGCTAAAATAAAATGATTATGTAAACGCTAAAAAAATGCATGTGTTCATATAAGAAAAAAAATAATGCACATAAGATCATATAAATATATTCTATGTTCATATATATATATATATATATATGTATATATATATATATGTATATATGGATATATATATATATATGTGCTAAATATAAACTTATTAACAGCAATCTCACCAGCACTAACATTTGTCATTTGTTAAGAGGTTAACCTGTTCAAAAAAATCAATGACGATAACTATGTCAGATATTTAAATCTTTAGATATGTGTTTTTACATAATTCTGTCCATCTGTCTACTGAATAACTAAAGAATATATATATATATGCATAGGAACAACGAAAATCGTAGCACCCATGATCTAGCTAACAAGTAGGCAAGCAATCATGAAAGCAAACGCACAATGCTTCTACACATACATTATAAATTGTACTATTTCAAAATTAGCTACTATATATATACATGGATATATCTATAAACATAAACAGATTCACACATATTTACCCATACATGTTATTTAACAAAAGGGGTAAGCTATAAGACAGCATAAAATGTTTCAACAAAAATTTAAGGCAAAAGTTACGATATATATATATATATATATATATATATATATATATATATATGGCGAGAGAATGTGTGGGGACGGTTAACAAATAAGTAGGTAGATAGGTATGAAAACGATAAAAGTATTTGTTTGCGATCAATATTCGGTTTGAATGTAGCAAAATAATGAAACTGCTTTAAGTGTTATTTGTTATGCATACGAAAATATATTCATTATTATGAATTACAGTAGTAACTGTGGTTGTAGTATTAATGTTGTGAACGAGAACATAAGTGAGGACAACGAAAACTTATTTTAATACATTTCAAAATATCTTGGTAAAATCTCAGAACCAAACAGTAAATACTTCATTCGCAGCATGTCTATCAATTGTCTCAGACTTTGTTGTTCCTTCGTTTCCATACTAATCACTCACTGTTCTCGTTCTGTTCTATTCGATTCTTCTCAACCTTCTGCCTCCAGACATCCCACTTTCGATTAGTGATACATACTACTTACATCTGTCAACATCAGAAGCACACTCTACAATATCAACGTGAAATAAAATTTATCGTTCAGTGTATTTAATATAATCAGACAACATGAAATGATTAGAATGTAAGATATTTTGCACGAATCTATATTTATTCATAAGATTTGAAAGTTTAATTAAATTACAAATACAGGAATATTCCATCTACATTGAAATGTTAATATAGTGATAAACTGGAAACAGATGAAGTTATTTAACCACTGTCTAAATAAATGAAAAAAATTGTCCGATACAAATTATCTTTCGGTTAAGAAAGTCGATATTTTAATCAGTATAGGGCTGTGAAGACTGTTAAATTTTGTAGAAAAACTGTGAATAATCAAAATCAACTGTATCATCTCTGAGGTGTTTTCCAACTAAAGACAATCGGAGAAGATCACGCAATACGTTAGTTGGATGAAGTTGGACGGGTGCAT